TCGTTTTCCTAAGAACATTAGGTATTAAACTGGTGTAATAGGTTATGCATAAGGTTACAAGGTATTTCTCCTGCCTTCTTAGCATGCCTTCATGGTGTAGTGGTCAGCACGCTCGACGCGTATCAAGAGGTTCGTGGTTCGAGTCCCGGCGAGGGCAGTACTCATTTTTCATCTCTCCTGCTTCTTAAATACTTAATGCGATAATGTTTTTAAATGTTAATAAACAAGGTGATAATGTTTTTCTAGGCTATTTTGATAACATTAACCGAATGACACATTTAAAGATGAGAAAAATTATCCTTCGAAACAGCAGTGAAAGTTAACTAATTTAATATGGAAAAATCAGCAAACATTTAAGTAAGCATTTTCACTAGGAAATGGTAAACGTTTGTGTATGACCTGCTCATAATGTTTTTAATGCAAAAGTTCATTTATGAACGGGCACTTTCCTATTATTCCGTCGATCGGCCAAGCAGAACGATTTAGCGCCAATTATGGGTGACGGTGTCTTTTAGAATTCTGCTACAACGATTAGCGACTGGTGACCGTTGCCGAAATTTCCGCTAACGTTCGTCGGGATAATACCTAAGATTCCGCTTTCTGGTTCATAATATTTCTGGAAATTATTTGACCGATTCTGTCTCTTAATCCTAATACTCGGAGAACATATCTCATAGCAAAAGAGTCTGCCAATGTATAACTTTTTTTTTTTTTTTTTTTTTTTTTTTTTTACTTTTACACTGCTAAGGAGGACTACTGACCGGGAACAAGCCCTTGCAGTATGATGTCCGCCCTGCAGACATTTATTAAGTCTAAATTAAAAAAAAAAAAAAAAAAGATTACAGAGTCACATCTAGTATAACTCAAAATTAATGTGTATAACTCAAAATGTATAACTCAAAATGTGCCAAAATTAGACTCAAATAACTCATATAACTCAAAATTAGACAAGAAAGCTACCTTAGTTTGAACAATATATCTACGCAGAATATTCTTTTCTTTAAGGAACAAAAAATTTTGCTGGCAGTTTTTATTTCTCCTGAAGAAGAGGGACCTGTGTCTGATTCCCTCAAAATCGATAGAGTCGTTGAAAATTTAAGTCAAACTATGGCTACTTTATGCTTAATTTTAAATGGTTAACTAAAACTAAATTAAGGTGCTTGCCGAATTAATCCTTCATTTGGTCACTTTTCTCTGTAACTTGCCAGTAATGTATTTTTGGCCTTTTGTAATGCCTTTTGGCGACTTTATCTTTTATTTAGTATCTTTACTTCATTTTAAAAATTTTATTCTATCATATTTTGATCATATTAACCGAACTGTTGATTATGGAAAATGATATATTTTCCATGTTTTTTATACAAAAACTCAAAATATCAGAGAGAGAAAAGAAGGAAAGAAACGAAGTTTCAATCATGTATCACAGGGTTTTAAGGCAAATGCCGAGAAATTCTGACAAAATATTTTTAAAAAAATGTGATTAAAAGAATGTAAATACTGCTCGTTCGAATGTGCAAAATAAAACCAAACATGTGTAAAAAAACTACAGTGTTTTTGTTTTTAAAGAAAGTGGAAAGAAATCGAATGACTCGCATTCAAATTAAAGGAATTTATTTTTTTGTATTATGAAGAGTCATTTAAATTTGTAACCAGTTATTTTTTATTAAATAGCTATCCTATAATTCCATTTCCCTCCCAGAATGTAAATTTCTGGTTCGCGCGATATTCAAATCAGGTAGAAAGTGTTTAAAGGAAGGTTCTAGAGGATAAAAACAAAGCGTGTTCTGGCTGCCTGAAGACCACTTTGATTCTCTTGATTAGTATTCTACGGCGTTGAGTTATTCTTGCCATTAAGCTTTTTTACGCCGACTTCGGTCAGAGACAGCTTGCGCGTTAATTATACTGTGAAGCCGTTAGGCCATACTTAATTTCTTTAGTTTTAGTTTATCCATTAATTTGATTCGAGCCATAAACACTGGCTTCTATGACCACGAATCGTGCCGACTATTTTACTTTATTTCGGTCAAATAAAAGGTCCTTTACACCCTTGTATATTGATATATTTTTTTACATATTTCATTATGGCGAAATACTCGAGAGCTATCTACTCAAAGGAAAGAATGCCTTTGTGGAGAACTTTCCGAGGCAAATAGGCGCATACCCAAGTTAGACATGGGAAAAACCACGAATACGCCCATGCAGATAGCCCTTTCGTCTGACTCGAATCCAGGTCAAACTACTAGTATTCAACAACTTTTACAGCTCGGTAGTTGGTGGGCCGCTTTTTAAGTAAGACGACTCGTATTTGCATTACCCATGAAGAAAACCACGCAAAACTCCATGTAGTAGTCAGTCCGTGCTGTGTTCAGATGTTGGTTCGGTTGCCAGTGGCCTTTCTTTTAACTGTCAAGTTGTTTTGATGATGTGGGTGAATAAATTGTCAATTTTTTTTATTCCAAAAATGGAATATTTGCCTCGCAGTCAATTTTTTTTTTTTAAATGCCGCGTACTTTGAACTTTAACCTCTATCCTTTGAAACCTCCAGTAAAGTTCTGCCATCTGTTAAATTGAAGCCGAAATAAAGTTCTCCCGATATATATTCGGGTATAACAATATGATGCAGTCAAAAAAAATTAGCCCGAGCAATATTCGGGCGTGACATTTTGGAATACCAACTCTCTGCCCGAGATTATTTCGGGCATGGCAGTTAAAAGGTTAATTTTTGCACCGTCTGTATTTCGATTCCGTACTCTAATTGCAACTGCTGTAAACCTGATTACTGCTTTGATCCTCTATTTACTGAACTTTGTCTGGGCTACAGAGTCAAGCTTTAATGAGTGTGTTTATTATCAAGTACAGCGTAAACATGCGCTAAAATAACTACGGTGTGAGATATCTTCCACATCAAAAGGATTTCAAAAATTTCTTGCATTATGATATAAATTTTCAAAGATTAAGTTTCCATCATTAACCCTATTTAATCTTTCATTTTAAGTTGCTGTGTATTAGCAGCAATTTTTTCCCATTCATTATTCTGTATTTTCGATTTGTAAACTGATCAGCTTGGCGACATTCCAAATTTTCAAACTGTATTCTGAAATTCGCCAAAAAGTCCTGTAATCACCAAATCTCGTAAAATTTTCAATTTCCTAACTATAGAACATTAACAGCTAATTTTTTACTATTATGATTTCTAATGAATAGATTCATATATATTTTTTTTCAAAAAATTTAAGTCTGCAAAACCTTCTTCATTATAAAGTTCTTCATGAAGGCATTTCTCCTCTTTGTCAAGTAATCCTAGCGTAATCTGCCATAATCCAAATAACATAATCCAATCCCTTTGGACAGTTGCCCTTAAGTTGTATTGCTTATTCCATTCTTCTCGATAGATATCAAGATCTCTGATATCAACTTGCGTCAAAGGCATTGTAAACAGTTGCTAAACATATTTGTTCACCTCATTATACAGGGGAATGGAAATCAAACTTTATACAATAAATAACACAAATATTTACTTTGCTTCAACATACAAAATGCAAACACAACATTACATCTTTAGAAGAAAGTTATAATTAAAATTTTTTTAAAAATCTGGAAACTTTCTTATTTGATATTCCGTATACATGAGCCTTTTTTTAACGTTTAGTATGTTACATTTATTTATTAAATATCATGTTCTTCGTACTTAAATCATAAATTTCAACTAAACAGCAATATCACAAAATAATTTTAAAAGAGCATATCTTTAGAATTTCCGATATAGTCTCGCAACTCTGGAGTTAAATAGTTAAATAAAGAGTAATATTTAAAAATATACTCTGGAGTTAAATAGAAATTTTTCCCCCTCCGTAGAGTGTTGCCATTGCTCGCTTTGAAATCGTTAAGTTTGTTAATCAGAAACTCGTTAATGTTCTACAAAATATGAAATAGATAATAAAACAAATTCCAAATTTGGGCTTCCAGATGCCCTTATTCGAGTGGAGGACTAGGTTATTCAAAATTTGATGTCTCTAGATACCGTTATTTTGTCACAGTGCGCAAAACTTACACACATTCCTGCAAATTATTCATTATTTAATTTCTGTAAATATTGTGCAGGGCTCTAATATTTATTTGGTGGCAACAAATTGAAAAGTGAAACGCCGTTACATAGTGGACGATGTAAAATGCCAAAACGAAATTAACAGCCCTTCTGTGAAATTGCCCCTTTAGGCTAATAATTGCGTGTTGCCACATCTCTGAAACAAACTCATCGAATAACATGGTTTATTTAAAAGTAGAAATTAATTATTTTTAGTGTTTTATGAATACGAGCAGCGTCCTCTTTCGGCCGTCAGCAACACAGTGAATGTCGTAACAATACTTTTGCTCTTCTTCCTAATTAAAATGATATGAAAATAATACCTATTTATATGCTTCTAATGATATTTTATATTATATACGTAAAATTCTATTGCCATTTAGAAGAACATTTATTTCTTGTATGGTAATATTATCGTTTATGTTTTAAAAATAGCGGTGGACAAATATGATCACATTAAGCGGAGTTTACTGTAATAATATTTTCTACACTTTTTATGCTTTGCCATTTATACGAAAAAAACCAAGTTTTCGTAATATTATTTTCCGAATTTGTAGCAAAATTTCTTCTCAAAATCCAAACACATAACTTGAATCGTAATTCCAAAGGTGTTTATTATATCTCGCAGAAAGCAAGTAAAAATCACATAACATAATTGAAATCTAAATGCAAAATAAATTTTATTATTTCCAGAGAGTGAATGTCTTTTAGCATCTGCTTAACAAAAGGAAAGGAAAAAAAAAAAAAAAAAAAGAATTTTCATTTCGAAGAATGAGTTACAAATGCTTGTAGTAAGATACCGTCATTGCCATGATCAAAGAAGTGGAACGAATGACTTTAGAACGTGATGAAGGGGGAGTGAACATTAAGCAACAGAATAAAGCTTTAAAGATCGAATGTTGGAGACTCCAGTAATCAGTTGATTTAAAGTGCGAGGCACCCACACATTGCCTGTAAGCTTTTTGACTGAATTCAGTAGTTATTTCAATATACAATATGCCAGTTTCAGTTTCGAAAACCAAATTACCTTATTCTGAAGGCAGTTTAGGAGATGTCAAAGGTAAATAACTTATTTCTTTTTCATAATAGTTTAATTTTCTTAAAATACTCCAAATAGAAAGTTTGTTCGAAAATGTTTGAGAACTGGAATGTTTTAATCGAGAATGAAATTCCAATCCTAGAATCTTGCCAATCTTGTAAAAGATACGAATTTGAAAACTGTAATCTTCGCCATTCTAATCTTCCTTTTATCGTCATTCTAATTCTAAAGAGTAAAACTTTTGTCTTTTAAATATAATAAAAAAATTCCAAAGTTTAATAGAAATGTGCTGCCACTGAGTAAAGAGTAATTTATTTGGTTTCGACATTTTATTAAAAATCTCAGTTGAAAAAGTATGTAATGCTACTCGGCAAACATAAGATATTTATCTTTCAGTAATTTACAAAATCTGCTGTAGACAAAACATGACTTTGCTCGGCCCATTAAATTATGCAAATCGTTTGCAGCACTTCTTTTAAACTTATTTCCTTGAATTATTCTAGCTTAATTAAAGATTCGTCGAGGCATGTTGAAAATGAAATCAAAAATTGCAAATTTTAAAATCAAACATGCCGGTCAAATTTATCGTTCGGGAGTCAAACTTCTTACAATTTTATTTTTTCATAACGAGTATAAAACTTTCCCTTATTTAACTATAGGAACCGAGAGACTGATTTAAAAGTTAGATTTTATTATTTGTAGAAAAAAAATTAATCTGACATTACCAAAACATGAAAAGCGTGAATGTTTTTCGTCATTTAAAACATTTCTGCAATTTGAATTATATTACTAAGACAACCGATTACGAAAATAAAAGCTGGGTAAGGAGGTTACAGTACATATATTTGGTAGTTTCCGATTGCAATAAAAATGGGAGGTGCATAACTAGATGTTACAGCAACTGCATATGCAAAATTTCAAATTTCCACGGCTAATCGTTTTTGAGTAAAAAATATGTTCCCACTGCCAGATGTAAAATAAATGTAAATTTGTCTTCCACGCGTCAATTTGTTGCCATTTGGCGAAGCGTAAAATTTTGCTGTTGAATTTTATGTAGCATGTAAAGATATGGTTACGTATTAGTTTACGTAAGGTTAAAAGACAAAAGTTAATCATAAAAAGAAAAAAAGTGTAAGTCATCTCATTAAGAAAAGTGATGTACTGAAAAGAATTAATGGCAGCATTTACCACTCTATCGGGAATTCTAGAGCAACCAGTCAATAAAAAACATAAGAGTATTTATAATTCAAATTTAATCAGAAAACTCTATAATTTAAAAGCAATATATTGCCGCTCAGTAAAGCGTAAGATGTTTGTCTTAAATTAGTCAACAAATTTAGCGATTTTGCGATTTAATCGCAACAAATTTAGCGAAAATTTAGCGATTTAAATTTAGTCAACAAATTTAGCGATTTAAAAGAAATGTATGGCCACTGCACGAAAGAAAAATGTTTTTAGAATACATGCGCCAGTGAGCTGCCATTCGACAATGCGGGAGATACTCAGATTTTCTTTGAAATTCAATGTCTTATTCAAATCAAGCGATTTTAAAACAATAAACATTTCTTCATTTCTTATTATAATTTACTAGGTAAATCCGTGAAATGACACACACTGGACTCATTAAAGTCATTATATATTTTTCCTTTTATAATAATTATTTTAAACTGTTAGTTATCTTTAATGTTAGGAAACCAGAGTAATCCAAAAAAAGTTAGAATATATGGAAAATCTGAGACTCGTGAAATTATTTCCTACTCAAAGAATGACCAGTAATAATTTAATATTTGCGTGGATTATTGCTCAGATTCATATACTGTGACAACATTGCTTCCCATATTGTTCTTACCAACCCCCGCTAGATTATATAAAACAGAAGTTAAAGAACTTTAAAATTAAGAAAATAAAATCTGAAAGATTTCAAATTTTACACTGAGCCCAAAGGGACATTTTTTAACCTTTTGTGTGTTACCTTTATTTATTAAATGTTCTTTGCACTTAAACCATAAAATTCAATTCAACAGCAATATCTCAATATAATTTTTAAATGAGCATATATTTATAGTTTCCGATACATAGTCTCGCGCGCTGGAGATATATTTTTTCTGTACAGTTTTGCCATTGCTCGCTTTAAAATCGTTAAGATACAACATTACACGCCTAACAAGTATTAAAAAAAATCGGCGTTACATTTTCAACCATCAGGATTTGTAAATATAACGCTGATTTTTGTTGTTTGACTTCTAAATTAATCGTTAAGTTTGTTAATCGAAAATTCGTTGAAGTGTTACAAAATACGAAATCGATATTAAAACAAACTTCAAATTCCAAATTAGGGCTTCCAGATGCCCATGTTCGGTGGAGGATTACGTGATTCAAAATTGGATGGCTCTAATTACCGTTGTTTTCTCACAGTGCGAGAAACATATATATATTTATGCGGATTTTTTCATTAATTAATTTCTTTAAATGTAACACAGGGCGATAATATTGGGTGGCATTGAAAAGTTAACCGATATTTAAAGTTTTCAACGCAAAATGTCAAAACAAAATTAATAGTCCTCCTGGGCTAACGCCTTTTGAGCTAATAAATACCGTGCTTCGTCGCGTATTTCTGCTTCTTGCTTTTTAGCGCCAGACTCTGCAAATTTCAAAAATTATTCGTCTAAATTTCCCCTGCCTCACGAAACAGCTTCCCTAAATTTTAAACAGAATACATGAACGTAGGGATTGTTTTCGTCTCACTAACAAGGATGGACCACTCAAGCTACCTGAGAAGTTCACACCGATCCTTGCCCTTCTAACTATCAAACTTTCTGCTAGCCTAATACAAGAACCGACCCATCACGTTGAATCAAATATGAATTGACTATGATTTCATCGAGTAGGCTGAACATTCACCTTCCATAATTAGGGCCCACCAGCGGCCGAGCGGTAAAGCCGCTAAACACTGATAGTTCAGTCCGAGGTTCGAATCCCGTGAACATGCTGGCTTTATGGGCGTTTTCGTGGTTTTCCCCCATGTGTAAGTTGCATATTTATTTATTTATTTATTACGTGCTCCGCCTTTAGGCACTACACGGAAAGGGAGGGATGCCCCGTGGAGGTCTTTTTAAGGGAAACTGGCTCGTATCCACGTTACACATGGGGAAAACCACGAAAACGCCCATGCAGCCAGCCCGTTTGCCGGGACTCGAACCCCGGAACGAACTACCAGTGTTCAGCGGCTTTTACCGCTAGGCCGTTGGTGGGCCGTATAAGTTGCATACGAGCCAGTTTCCTTAGAAAGCCCTCTGCGAAGGCATCCCTCACCTAAAGCAGATTGCCCTCGAGGCTTTGCCGTAATCACATAAACCAAAAAAAAAATCTTCTATAATTATTTATGTATGATTTGAGGTGTAAAGAAGGAGTAACACAGAGAACAGTATCTACCTTAGGTCGAACTATGCGGAATTAAATGTCATCCCAGTGCAAAATTTAAAAAAAAAAAAAAAAAAAAAGGAAAAGAAGGTGAACATATAAAAGCAAAATAATAAACTAAATACATAAAATACACAATCATCATTATCAATATCATTAATTTTCAGTTGTCTAAATATTTACAATACAATTATGTATATTTTGAAACCAGCGCTATCATTTTTCTTACAGATACAAACATAGCATCAAAATATATACGAAATTATATTAGAAATCAGCATAAAGGAGTTCTTCAAGACAAATTTGAACGTGAGGAGCAGCTATGATAATAATAAGAACGAGTGAGATTAAAATAACAGGGAAGTTGAAGTGAATGTATCTTATGAGATATTTCATTGCTAATATTTACTATGTATTCTTATTCGAATGTAGCTTTCTCTTAAAGAAATAGTTGCCTGTTACCATGACTACTTTTCATTTTTTATGTTTTTACTATAAGCATGTGCGTCAGAAATTAAATTCTGCTACGATAAAATTAGTGAAAACAATCTGATGCGGAAACCACAGGACTTTCTTGTACATCCTTTTAAATTATACGCATTTTTGCTGAACTCCGTTTAAACTTATTTCCTGAAATTATTTTAACGTAATTATTCGATCTCTTGAGGCAAGTCAAAAATGACATCAAAAAATGCCACTTTTTTAAATTAAATATCCAGGTCAATTTTTGTCAAGGTCAATTTTTGTGAAAAAATAAAATTTTCCTATAATTTTATTTTTTCATAACGGTGTGGTGTGACGGTGTATTTAATTACGGCAAAGCACACTAGTGCTATCTGCCAAAGGGAAGGGATGTCTATCGTGGAGGACTTTCTAAGGGAAACTGGCTTGTATACACGTTACACATGGGGGAAACCACGAAAATACCCATGCAGCCAGCCCGTTCGCGGAATTCGAACCTCATTTTTTTTCATAACGAGTAAGAAACTTTTCCAAATATACGTATAACGACCGGAAACGCACTAAAAACTAGATTTCGTTATTTTTAGAAAATTAACTTTTTTAAAATTTGATATTACCAAAAGAGAAATGTTTTTATCACTTAAAACACTTCTGTAATTGGAAGTATATGACTACGACCAACGTTTGCGAAAATAAAGACCGGGTAAGGACTTTTAATTTTGGTAAGGAGGGAGGGGGTATATATATTTTTGCTAGTTCCCTATTTTAATAAAAAAAAAGGGAAGTGCACAATTAGATGTTATAGTCGTCGCATATACATAATTTCAACGTTCTACAGTTAATCTTTTTTGAGTTATGCGAGATATATGCGTATGTACAGACGCAGCGAAAAAAATCTCTTCTGATTCCATTTTAAATCCGTTTTACAATTCATTTTGGTAAAACAGTTCTTTATTTTGTCCGTACATACAGATCTCAAGCAAAAACATCGTTCAGATGAATTCGAGAGCAGTCAAAATTTTGTTGAAATATGATACCCGAAAATTTTCGCGATTGCAATATTTCCTTTACAAGGAAGTAAAAAGAGAAGAAACATACTGGAAAACAGGATAAATATCTTCCGCTTTGCTGAATGGCAACACACTGGAATTTGGAAGGTAAAAATATTTCATTCCGGACAGCGGTAACACATTTCTTTTAACTCACCGAGTTTGTTCATTAAATATGAAAGACATGCTTATTACGCTTTGCCGAGTGGCAACGCTGCTTTTAAAACGCTTATTAGCTGGATTAGCATGTCGAAAAAGGAACAGTCGATATTATATATAAAATGCTGTAAATGGGATGCAAAGAAACGAGGCAAACAAAAACCAGTCTCTGCCTTTAAATGCGTATTTATTATCTTTATCAATTAAAACATTGAAGTTTTATTTTGATACAAAATTTTGATATTTTTGTCGATAATATAACGCTGAAATTGCATTCCATTATCTGAGATGACATTGAGCATTACCAAATGTTTTTGGCATGGCGTTATAAATATAGTAACATCCTTGACAATGAGCAACAGCAATAGTTTGGAGGACAAATTTTAAAATGCGACTATAGCGATTGTGTACCACGTTTTTGTTTACGGTGCCTGTAAGCAACAACAATCAGTACGATAATTAAATAATCATTTCTGTTACATCGTTTTTATCAGTTTGAAGCCCAACAGTGGACCACTATATAATAACGCAGTCTTCTGCTCCCTTTTACATTTAATTTTTAATTCTTTGAGAGAAATAAAATGGATGGAAGTAAGTTTGCTAATACGTTTTATTTTTTTCGCATTGCTGTAAAATTTAAAATTAAACAAAAAAGCTATCTTAGACTGGTGTAGATTTTGAACAAAATTATTGATTTCGAGGGGGATCAGACCTAGGTCTCTCTTCTTCGGGAGAAAAGGGGGGGGAATATTTTTGTGATTAATTATTTTGTTCAAAATCTGCAAGCAAACAAATTATTTTGTTCAACTTATTCAAATTATTTGTTCAACTTGTAGAACTGAACTCATATACCTGTAAGATTCGTTGATTTTTTTCAGCTTGTATGATTGATTCGTTTGTTCAACTTTGTATGACTGATTTTTTTAAGTGTATGATTGATTTAACTAATTTTTATGATTGATTTGTTCAACTTGTGCTACTTATTATTTGTTCAACTTGCATAATTTGTAAAAGCTGAGCATTTGTTCAACTTTTAAAAATTATTTTGGTTGTCTGTTTGATTTTAAACAAATTATTTTGTTTTTAATCTGTGCCAATCTAGATTTGCTTTTTTCGCCTAATTTTAAATTTTACTCTAGCGTTATTCACTTCTGTGTGTATTTTAAGATATTTATCCGTTTATTTACATAATATTGCGCTATTTCTAAATGATGAATACTTTTTTTATGTAAGAGTTCTAGATTTACAACAAATATATAGCGAGGCTTTTGGAGGGCAATTGATGTTATTCGTGACACAGATCTAGCGAAAAGAACTTCACAATTTAAATTTCAATATACTAAATATACCATACTTTATAATCATGTGTATTATATTTTACTTTGAGTATTATTTTTAATATTACTACTACTTACTAACTTCTTCTACTTAGGCAATCTCGCATCAAACCAATCGGCTGGTTTCTCTTTCCCAATTGCATAACTCAGAATCATGTTATGATGATTCCCTTAATATTATAAATATTTTCTATTATCACTCTAAATTTTTAAGAATTATAGTTGTCTTACACTCTATAAGGTTATTATCACCTTGGACACCTTATAGGTGAATGTATGAATTTTCAAGTTATGCCCCATTTTCGAAGAAGAATCCCTTCCCGGGTCAAATCCGAAAGCCTTTTACCCTTCTTCTCACTCCACCAATCTCTCGATAAGACTTTTGACCTTTAGTGTATTTTAAGTACCCTCATGTCGCGAAGACACTATACACTTCCATTAAAAAGTAAACCAGGATATAATCAGCTGTTGGGCTATTTTAGCTTTTATGACTTACCCCATAGAAAAGTAACCCTTTCATGAAATTTCTTCTTCCTATTTACGTATATTTAGCCTATATAAACTATAAAATACAGATACACAGATTACTATGTCAAACAGAAAATATCATTTTGTAGATTGTGAATTAAAATTCATATCTTCCGGTTTCATATTCAAATTATATGTAACAAATTATGTACATTACGCGCCACTTAATCTGATCATGTTTGTCCACCACTATTTTGATAACATTAACTGAATGATTACATTAAACGGTGCGGTAAAAATAGCCTTCTGAATAGAAACGGGGTTGAATACATTTAATATGAATATAATCAAAAACGTATTAATAGGTATTTTAACAGCATTTTCAATAGAAAAATGCAAATGTTATTTTTTTAAGCTGTTTGTAATGTTTTTAATGAAAATGTTCATTTGTGAACCCTTCGTAAAGGGCATGCATAATTAAATATTCGGTAGGTATGCATAACTAGAACGGAATTTGAGAACATAAAATTTAAATTATGCAAAAAATCACCCTTAATTTATCATAGATGATTTCAGAAAATTCGTTCTCCCCACGCCAAAAGAGAAAAAGGCCTACAGATTATTTTTTTCCACTGAAGAAGAAAGGCTTATATCTGATAGCCCTCAAAATCGATATCCATAATTTACGTCAAACAAATGTTACATTGTTACCTAATTTTAAATGACTGACTGAAATCAAAAACCAAGCTGTTTGGAGACCTAAGCTCTGATTTGGTAACATTTATCAACACTTTGGCAATTTTTATTTTAAATTTTATTTTAGATTTATTTTACCTTTATATATATATATATATTATATAGATTTTATTTATCCTTGTTTAGGCACTATACCATTTTGGATATTTTTGAAAAACACCATATCTTTAACAGCTCTATCCTATATCTTTCAGAAAAGAAAACAAAGAGGAGTTTGGCGAATGGCCTAGGAAGTCGTCCTCCACTGGTGTGGAATAAAAAAGTGTCGAACACAGAGCTTGATAAATTTAAGAAAGTCGTGGAGGAGAAGTTCAAGCTACATTTCGGCAAGTTAACTAAACATTATTTTATAATAAGTAATGTTACAAAATATATTTGAACCGTTTATTGCTAAAACTTAGTATGTGTAATGTAGATTTATGCAATATAAATAGCCAATGATGAGCTGGCATTATTTTTCGCAGTCTAAATGAATGCCGAATACAAATTTGGTAAATATTTAAATCATAAAATCCTTCATTTGCATTTTAAATTTAAGAATGATATATAATTGAAAGCTTCGTGGAATCTTTTCTGTTATAGAACAGCACATGCTAAAAAGTTTTCTATGTTACTGCTTTATATAGACTTGATACAGATTATTTGCTGTACACTTGATACACACTATTTGATACAAATTAATTCATATACTTGATATAGACTGTTTTCGATATTTGGAATAGAATACTTGACACAGACTTGATATAGACTACTTCATGTACTTAAAATAAACTACTTTGGTATCCTTGATATACTTGATACATTTAACTTGATATACTTGATATAGACTACTTGCTAGATTTGGTATAGATTAATTAGCATAGGCCTGATATAGACTACTTGATATCTTTGATATGCCTGATACATTTGATATAAACTACTTGATATAGACTACTTGTTACACTTGATATAGGCTACTTGATATAATTCATATAGATTACTTGATACATTTTATATGGACTACTCGATATAATTCATATAGATTACTTGATACATTTGATATAGACTACTTGATATACTTAATATACACTACTTGATATATTTGATACAGACTTCTTCATATAGACCACTTCATGTAGAGCACTTGATATACTTGATGTACACTGCTTGACAAACTTGAAATAATACATCACATACCTAATATAGAGTGCCCCATATACTTGATACAGACTACTTGATATAGATTACTTTCTACATTTGATATAGATCTTGATGCAGACCTGAATAGACTATTTGATATACTTGATGCACCTGATAAAGACTATTTGATATATACTTCATGTGGACTACTTAATATACTTGATATAGACCACTCGATGTAGACCACTTGATATAGTCTAGATATAGATTACTTGGTGTAATTGATATAGACTCCTTGATGATATAGACTAGGTATAGATAACTTGGTGTAGTTGATATAGACTGCTTGATATACTTGATATAGACTAGATATAGATTACTTGGTGTAATTGATATAGACTGCTTGATATACTTGATATAGACTACTTGATATACTTGATATAGATTGCTTGATAAACTTGATATAGACTACTTGATATACTTGATATAGATTACTTAACATATTTCATATAGACTACTTGATATTCTTGAAATAGACTTGATATAGACTACTTTATATAGACCAATTTTTGTATGAAATGCGTGTGACATTTTCAATATAATTAATTCTATTAATGGATTCTATGTACATCACATAAGCTTCTAGACGTGGGAACTTCAGAAACTATACAAATTATTATAGAATCTCTGCACAATGTTGTAAAGAATATCTACACATATCTTTAGGGTATTTCTATACTTTATACGCTAGAAGTTATAACTGAAATTTTATAGGATTAAATAAAATTATAGCATTCGATAAAATATTTCTAATCTAGTTTACAGGAAATTGGGCTGTCACTCTAAATAATTCCGAAGACATCTTAGTAATTGGTGCCGTACCAGTTGAAGGTTAACTATAAACAAATGTTATTTACCTGAAGTGTAATTATTATCTCATACAGATAATTTCTTTCCAGAACCGGAACTTTAAAAATACTTGCATATTTTCTGATAAGCCTGTTGATAAGAATTCTAGTTCTGCTGTGTTTTCCTTGACTCATTCTGTAATTTCAAAGTAGCTTTCTCATCGTTTTGACAAGACGTTGAGAATTTATTACTTGCAAAATGTGACATTTCTTTTGAAGATAAGAATGCAGTCGAGATAACATTCAATCCTAACTCTTAAAATTTTTATTGTCAACCGATATTTACACCGAGTAAGACCCGAACTTTGAGCTCGAGTGTGTTGCTTAGAGCCCCTTGTGTTTACCAACAGAATTTTAGTTTTTGATTGAAAAGTTATTTTATTGATATTATATTATTGTTGTGATACTGGAAAAATGTATTATTTTCGATATATGGTTCTTGATTTTTGGCAACGTCACAGAGAAAAAGGATAGCTTTATTGTTACCTTGAGTGCTAATACAGCAGTGTGGTTTCAATTACAGATTCCTACTGGGATTTTCATAAATGGTCTGTCGAGAATTACGCAAATTTCTGGGAAGAAATATGGAATTATTTTGGGGTCATTACGTCCAAACCTTACGATAAGGTAAGATTTCGCTTCCATATTTTTAATTTACTTTTTTTCTAGCATAATTAACTAAAACAATAGTGTGAGTAAAAATATTTTGTGACTCGAAAAATAAATAAAATAAAATAATTAAATAAAAAAAGAAAAGAAAACCTGAAGGTTTCAAATTTAACAATCGCCCAGAAGAGTTTGTTAAGGTTTTTTGTGCTCTCTCTGAGCTGGCTGGCAGTCTGCAATTCTGCTGTGTAACCTCACTCATACTAACCCTTTTTTTTTTTTTTTTTTTTTTTTTTTTTTTTTTTATCATATCAATGTTCGGTATTCTTAGTGATGGCTTTACAATACTTTTTTGTCCTTTTATTATAAACGTTTTGTGTGGTTACTTTATTTATTAAATATAATTTTCTCGGCGCTTACGTCACACAAAATTCGATTCAGCAGCAAAATCACAATAGAATTTCGGATAGACAGACTCGCGCACTGGAGATAAAACTGTTTTATTCCGTACAGTGCTCTCACTGCACGTTTTGCAATACCTGAGTGTGATAATCAAAAATTCGTTACAGTTTTCCCCCTTTTGGGCTATTAATGAAATAACTAAATAATGAAGAAACTGTTTGTATTTTGTTCCTCGTATTGTGGAAAAATGGCTGCAACTAAAGCCATCCAATTTTGAACACACGTAGTCCTCCACAAGAACATGGACACCTCGAAGCCCGAATTTTCAAATTCTAATTTGTTTTTTAAGTTATTTCATATTTTATGCGAATTAAATGAACTTTTGACTAAAAGCTGAACGATTTAAAAGCTTTGTTTTGCCACTCTGCAAATTAATTAGAAGACTCTGCGAAATAAAAGAAGTGTGTTGCCACTTAGCAAAATGAAATGCATTTGTCTTTCGAAATTACTCACATTGTAGGAAAACAGCGGCATCCACAGCCACCAAATTTTGAACTGATTCACCCGAGCACGTGCACCTCGAAACCGAATTTTGAAATACTTTATTGCTTATTTCTTATTTTGTGAAAATTTAAAAAACTTTTAAATAAAAACTCAACAGTATAAAAGTTTTGTGTATCCACTCTCCTAAACGTAAGATATCTAGGTTTCCAATTTAATCATAAATCTCGGTATTTTTAAAAGAAATATGTTGCCATTGCTCATTCAACTTCCTGTTCATTACCATTTCCCGTTTGCTGAGGGGTATGATGTTTAATTTTTTTTTCAAATTTACAATGTAATTCATTAACAAACTAAGCGATCCAAAAGTAATAAACCCAAATACGTATTATTAATTGCTAGCTAGACCTAAGAAAGTGCAATAGCCGGATTCATTAAAATCATTATTAGCCCAAAGAGTAATTTGCCTAGAAGAGCTATTTATTTCTCCCATTGTGAAAAAGCATTGATACCTACAGACATCAAATTTTAAAATAGGTAGTTCTACACTTTAATATGGGCATCTGGAAACCTAAATTTCGAATTTGAAATTCATTTGAAATCTGAAATTATCTATTTCATATTTTGTAAAACTTTAACGAATTTTTTATTAACAAACTCGATTTCCAAGCGAGCAATGGCAACACTGTACTGGAGGAAAAAAAAATTTTTTTTTCTCCAGCGCGTGAGACTGTGTATCGGAAATTTTAAAGATATGCTTCTTTTAAAAATTTTGTGATATTGCTGTTGAATTGAATTTTATGGATTAAGTGCGAAGAACATGATATTTAATAAATAAAATTAACACAAACGTTAAAAAAACGCCCCTTTGGGGGGGGGGGTAATATAAAACCTGAAAACTTTCAGATTTTTTTTATCCTTTTCTTTAGATATTTTTCTTTTTTATAATTGCTAATTTAGGCGGCTGGCTGCGTAAGCGACAGTTTTAATCAGTAAAGCTATCATTAAAATTTATTATAACATTATTTTTTTTAACCTTGTATAAATTGTTAGTACCTCTGAGTATCTTCCTTTAAAATGTATTTGTAAGTTTTCTTTTAAGTTGATATCATTGTACACTAAATAGCCCATTGCTCATGTAATCTCAACCAATATTTAGCAATTGTAAATTGTTAAGACATCAATGAAATGAGGAATTTAACAATCATCTACAAAAATCATCTACAATCATCTACCAAACAATCATCTACAAAAACGTGCTTATTTAATCATTACCCAATGAAAGATAAGACTGCTGGATGTATTATTTCTAATGAACTTAACTTTTAAAAAAGAAAGTAAATTTTAAAGTACTTACATTTTAACGTCGCAAATTTTAAAGTACTTACATTTTAACGTCGCATTAGGAAGTTTACAAATGTTTTTTAGGTTCTCACTGAGTTCGCAGTGCATCAGTCAGCTCTTGGACTTACTTCTACTAACACAACTTATTTTTACTTTATTTTTACTTTTTTTTTACTTTATTACAAGTTATTACGACTGAAAAATTGCAAAATATTTAACAGCAGCTCATTTTAGAATTCCTCATACAGTGTTAGTATTGTTATGATATTTTTAGCCTATAAAGTTATAATTTATTTACGTGTCCTTGGCTACTAGAACTGTTATGGCAGTGCCTAGCGACTATTCGCTGGTCTCCTTACAATTCTATAAAATATAAATCCAAAGAAGGGCTAAAATACCCTTTTATTCACTCAAAGAAGTAATGAAAGTCGGCACCTTCTCGAGCTTACAGGAAAGCCTCCACTCGAGCTTACAGGAAAGCCTCCACTTGGGCTTTAGCTTAAGATGGAAGATAAGAAACGAATCTAACTTGCTCAACTTTAGCCGAAGGTATACAAAGATAACTAATTAAACTCCTAATTAAACCTAATGGCTCCTAATTAAACCTCATTGACGAATACTAACAGGCGCTGAACAAAGAGGTTATCCCTTCTATCGACAGCCCCTGCTAGACGGGAACGTATCACATTTAATAATTAAAAACAATTATTTGATTCAAACGTCATAGGTTTCTGTGTTAAAGTAAACCAGATTGTCCCTACTCTTTCTTGCGGACATGTGTGTGACGTGCGCCCCGCCCACTGTGTTAGTCTACCTCTTATAAGGTCCATGGTTACATTATCCAGAAAAAAATGCTGCAATTTCACTAAAATTATTTACAAATGTACAAAATTCATAACAGAGCATAGGCTTGCGGAAAATGAAAATAATTTCTTTGAAGTTCTTTATATTTACTGTTGTTTCGTTTTAAAGTTTTTTCTGCCTCACTCAGTACTTTACACGAAACTGTAGTTTTTGCATATTTTATTTGTTTCGTGTTACAGCTTTTAGACATTGCCTTCTTTTTTCAGGTCGTAGTCAAGACAGGCGATGGTTTCCTGGACAATGAATGGTTTCCCGGTGCACTCTTCAATTACGCGGAAAACATTCTGAGGATAAGAGATGACAGAGTTGCTCTTATTTACGTTGGTAATTAATCTCACCAGTTCATCTTAATCATTAACTATTCATAAAATTCTCAAAATACTGAAATTGTTTTGAGAATAGTTTTACGATCACTGCGCTTTCATGTGCAGTTCACGATCAGTGCCTTTATTATTAAATAATGAGGAATCTGCATGTATGCGTGTATTTGTACATGCATTTGCGTACGTACATTCTGCACAAAACGAAAGGAGGAGGCAGTCCTTTATATCGCGCCTACTGGGCTGACTGACAAAAGTGAACTTGTGTTTTTCGAAATCTCAAAAAAGCGACTTGGGATATATATTAAATATATGTATAGCATTGTTCTAACATAGGTACTTTGACACAAAATCGGACTTTTACTGATAAGATATACCAAATTTTTTTTTTTTCCATATTTCAATTCTGCGACTCAAATTATGTCTAAATAAGAAATTTTATAAAATCTGGTGATAAATTTACCGATTAAATTAAAAGTGCATCTAATTAAAAGAAAGGCTCTGTTCTTACAAGTCGGCGAGACAAGCCGAATGGCTAGAAGCTCTCCCCATAGAATCAAATCGCTATTTAGGCACGGTTACAACATAATCTCAAGTAGGCAGAACACGCTCTAAAATCAACTCGCGAAACAAATGATGTTGAACATTAAATAAAAGGGTATTTAGACTAATGGTTGACAGCATAAAGTATACGCGCAGAAAGGCTATGGCTCGTAGAAGCCGGCGAGACAAGCTTAATGGCTAGAAGCACTCCGCCATAGACTAATTAAAATTTAGGCCAAAATTACTATTTAGGCACTGTAACCACATAGCCTCAAGTAGGCAGAACGCGCTCTAAAATCAGCTTGCAAAACCCTTGCTTAATAGCAGTTCCTTCTCTCTATATCTGAATCTCTATCTCTCTATATCTCTATATCTCTCTATATTGATCCGCGCTATCTAATTGACGTTCTGGCATGAAAGGCCTGGGTGAAAAAGAGAGCGACAAGAAAGTTGCTTTAACTCAAAATTAACTATTAGTCAAAATAAATAAATAAATCCTCACAGAAAGTAATGCGTTTCCACTGCCGGAGATAAAACGCTTTTATCTTCAAGCAATATATCTAATCTTTCCTTTAAATTCAATCTCTCTGTTGTTGATTAGCAAATTAAGCGATTTAAAAGCAATAAACGCAGTTCTTCCATTCTATGGTGAAATTAAGGTCTTTAAAATTACTACACATTTTCTTTTCTTTTTTAAAATGATTACTTCAGCCGGCTGATGACGCTAGCAGCTAGTTATTAACAACAAAAAGTCTGATGTGTACACCACATGACTTCCCCGCACGGAATATTAAATTATACTCATCTTTTGTTGCATTTCGTATACACTCATTTCCTCGAATTTTGTTCGAGATATATTTCTCATTCAATTAATTCAATTCTCAGATCGTGGTAAGGCGAAAATACATATCTTTATTAAAATTTGAAAACTATAAAACACCAAATACAGTTAAAACAATTTAAAAAAAAAACTATTTTTACAATTAAAAATTAGAGTTGCTATTCAAAAACAAGCACTTCGGCCATCGGGCAAGAAGGCAGATTTTTCGGTGCACAAACCTGAAAGATTACTTTTGTTCCCACTCGGCGAAAAGACACTGAAGGTGCAGAAATTGACTTAATTCCCAATTCTGCAAAGTGTCTAATGTAAACAAGTATTACTGCTATGGTAAAAGAATAGACTTAGCCTACTTAAACAAATTTAAATTGTTGATAATTCTACAGCTATTGCATGCAGATTAACTAAACGCATAAAACCTTAACTTAAAAAAAACTGGAAAATAAAAACAACATAATGCAATAATTTTGAAAGCAAAAAATGCACAGTTTACCAACATATAAGACTAAAAAATGAGGTCATGAAGCCGAGTAACAGGGTATATATGTATTTATTTATTTATAGTTTTGGTGCGTCCGATTGCAACCTAAAAGGGACATGCACAACTGCATGTTATAGTGGTAGGCCTATATACAAAATTTCAACGTTCTGAGGCTACTCGTTTCTGAGTTATGCAAGATACATACATACATACGTTCGTACGTACAGACTTCACGAAAAAAAATCTCTTCTGAGTCCAATTTAAATCCGTTTTGACAAAAAGAGATCCTTACTCTTTCCTTATGTACAGATGACACTTAAAAACCATCTTTAAATTGCATTCGAGAGACATCAAAATGGATATTTTTGTTTAAATATAGTACCCGAAAATTTTCTTGATTATAATACTTCCTTTTCTTTGAACCAGGAATTCAAAAGAACTGTAATTAAAACATTGTTTGAACACATTGTAATTTTGTTTTCCTTTTCAGAGGAGAATGGGTACGAAGAAACTGTGACTTTTGCTCAGCTATTCGAAGAAGTCAAACTATATGCAGCGGCTTTCAGAAAACATGGATTACAAAAAGGAGACAGAGTGGCTTGTAAGTAGCAATTTAAAAAACAGTAAGTACAATTTAATTCAAAATTGGAAACTGGTCTCAAGAATGTTCTTCTTATTTTAAGCTGCAAACAAAGCAAAATGATAATTGTGTGAAATGTATGAAATTTAACACGTCGGTGTACAAAACAGCTGCACTCTTGAAAACTAAACATTTTTCCTTTATTTTCTCTAAAAAATTACTTTATTTATTATACTTCTTTACTTAGTATAAATGTGAGTTTCATTTTATTTTCGTCCTCGTAAAATACGTTTAGATTATGGATTATGGTTTTGAAAAACCAAATTAATTAAAACTTTTACAGCAAAATTTTCCAGGATGTTGAGCGTTTTTGGGCTGCATTTCTAGCTCAACAAGAGTAGATTCTTGAGCTCAAATTAATAAAGATTTTAAATCTGTTTTGATAAAAGTATTCGTGTATGAAATTTCATATACGTAGATTTAAATGAAAGAGATTAGTAAACATAAATTCTTCTTATAGAAATAGTTCAAGCGTTTGAAGAAGATCTCGTACAGTTCTGTTATTCTCACCCTCTCCCCAAGAAGTGAATAAAACATCTTCCAATAACTGAGGCATTGTAATGTATTTTGAGACATTGCAATATTTCTCCCGGAATTTTTAGCTTCTGAGATTATTTTAAGAATTATTTAAATTTATTCCAGAAAACCTTTTTGAATAAATACAGTCTAGCATTACAGGAAATTACAGAATTACATGAAGCGAAAAAATTATATGAAACTTTTTTTTTTTTTAATTATGATCCTTTATTATTATGATGTTATAGAACTACATGAAATCGAACAATTATATATAACATCATTTAATAAATATCACTCTTTTGTTGTACTTTAACTCCTGATAAAATGTCAAAAAAATGAGATGATATCATAATTTCCAAATGCTTAAGAGAAATTACAAATACGATGTCTTTAAAGAGTATCAAACACTATTTTTCCCAAATACACCTTTAATTTTATTTTTCCGTTTTCTATCACGTCTTACTTATCGGTTAAAATAATAAAAAAATCGCGATTTTCGAATTGCAAAAACAATAAATTTCAAATGCACTTTTACAAAGATAACAACCGTCCGTCTTTAATGATTTAGTGGTGGCGCCATCTATCAGTGGAATTATAAACGTCATAATATCCATAGGTAACTACCGAATTGCAAGTTTAAAATCCAAAGTAACTAATAATGAGCAAAATCCGTATGTTACAGACAACTAAATGTGCCATGTTGATCCTGCAATTAAGCGAGAAACCTAAAGTGTGGAAAAAAATGAGCTATGTAAAACAATTCTGTGAAGATACCTGAAATCCTCACAGCTACAGTTTCAGTCCATAATCATGCGTCTATATAAAACTTCATTTTCTCGAATAGTTACAAACTTAAAATAGCTACAGTTTCCATTCATAAAGGTGCTCTGATAGAATGCACTGTTAGCTTGGAATAGCTGAAATTTCAGTCCGTAAACATGCGTTGATAAAATGCTCTTTTTCTGCGATAGCTATAAAATTAGAATAACTACAGTTTCAATCTGTAGAGAAACGCAGCGCTCCGTTTGCTTGGAACAGTTACAAACTTAGAATAGAATAGACTTATTCCATGAAGATGCACTGACAAAATGCTCCATTTCTGGAATAACTACAAACTTAAAATAGCTAAATTTCGGTACAAGATGCGCCGTTACAATGCTCTTTTTACTGGTAATAATTACAATTTAAATCCATAAAGATGCTCCGATACAAGTTTGGTTTCTGGAATATCTGTAAACTCCGAATAGGTACAATTTCAGTTTATAAAACTGCGCCAATAGTGCCCGTTTGTAAGACTGGAATAATTAATTTCGGTCCATACACAAACGCCGACACAAAACTTCTGTCCATAAAAATGCGCTGATATAATACTCTGTTTTCTTGAAATGCCTACAATTTCACTCATAACTATACGCCCAATTAATACTCCATTTGCTTGAGATAACTACTAACTTGAGCTTGAGATAGCTATAAATTTCAGTCCATAAAGGTGCGCCGAACAATGTTCTGTTTGCTAACTCTTGTAGTGAATGACGTTGAGTTCGGATATGTGTCCTATAGCTCAGATGAAATTGAAAAGTGCAGCAAAGAGCACTTATCAGATTTTATATGGGCTTTAATAAAGCCACCATATTAAAGTTTTGAAGTACTAATAAGGAGTTCCTTATGTATGAGATTATCTGGAAAATGCTTCGCGTTTCGGAAGACATTCGACGTCGGCATCAGATTCTAATGTCAGTTACACTGAAGCAATTCAAAGTGAAAAGGAGAAATAAAATCCTCTTGGAAGGAAAAAAAATTTGAAAAAATAACCTTCACTTAGAATGTGTACAAACTGTTTGGAATTCGAATCAGGATAATGATTCATATGCCTTGCATTCTAGTACCTAGAGATTTATCGAAGGTCTAAAAATCGAAATAACTGCCTATCCTTGATTTTTATAGTATCCTGTCTCTTTTGACGTTCGGCTATCTCCTTACTTTCTGGAATGGCTGATTATGACTATTATTGAATACATTTTTGAATGATAAAAATTTCCCGTAAAATTTCTATGAAAATTCTTTACAGGTTACATGTCAAACAGAAAGGAAGCACTGTTTACCATGCTGGCAGCAACAAGCATCGGTGCAATCTTTAGTGGACCTCAACCATATTATGGAGCAAGAGTAAGTATTAGCAAAATGCAGCAGGCTTTTAATTTGTCTTTATCCTTTTTATAGTGTGTAGTACTGTTACCATCTAAGTGAAGATATTATATTTGACAAAGCTGTCAATCAAATAACTACGCATCCAATAAGAGTAAAGCACTAGATTTACATATCCTTAGACGAACTTCAACTTAGATCCGTGGCCAATATAACATAGGTCGGTCAATATGTAATGCACAACCCACTGTAGCCTGAAAAGTATTAGAGAAATGAAATTTTGTAGTTAGAAACATTGGTCGTTCGGTATTTCGGAAGTTTCGCTCAGTATATGATCCGTCTGCTTTATTGCACCGTAACCATCTTGTTTCCGTGACGCGGATGCACGTCCATTCCATCGACTGCTTTTGATCTAAGGATCGAAATGAAACGACCAAATTTCATAGCACATGATGACTCCTTGAGAGCTTCTTAATAATCCCAAAAAACACTTTGTAGAAGATGATCATACATGTTCTTCCAAATCTTCATTACTATCCTTGTCAAAAGCTGTGGGACACAACAAGCACAAGATTTCCTGTATTTCAATCCTGGAAACTCAAATCCTTTTGACACGATATATCTTGTGTCATTTGAAGTCTTCATCTGTCATTTTGAAGGAACTTCATGATGACTGATACGTTTTCATCGACTTTAATGGTTGACGATCTACCTGCCCTTGGCTGGTCCTGGGCAATCACCACTCTGAAATATCTAAAGCCATTTATACGCATTACTTTGATTCATTGCGCTGCCCTCATAGATTGGTAATGCTTATTGTTAATTAATGTTGCTGAATTATGCCTGGATTGTAGAGGAATTTGATCACTGCATTTTAGCATAATGGCAAGTCATGTTGGTCATCCATGGTGGCTTACTTTTAGCAACAAAAAATAAAAGTTGGATTATACATTAAGTGGTAAAGGGCCGATGCTTATACCTACAAAATTTCATTTATCTAGTGCTTACACTACTGTGGATCGTACATTATTTTTTGACCGATCTTTATAGATGCCGTGTTCGAACTTGATTACAATGCTATAAATATACCTGCGTGTGAAATTCGGCTATTAAAAAATTACTATGATAAATGAATATCAAATATAGCATTTTAATGTATGTCGACCTATTTCTGACCTTCTTCGTTTACGTTTTCATCTGCGACGGACTAAAAAATAATATTTTGTAATCAAATAAAATTAATTTGTGCATAACTATTTGCAACATTTTATGTCAGAATTATTCCATACAACAAATTGATAAGCAAAATAATTATTTCAAAGTATTTAAGAGATCTTTAATAAATTCTCATGAAACATGCTCCAAACCATTACCGAACTCTTATCAGCTTTTATGTTGCCTTATCAAAAAGCTGAAGTCTCGTAGAGTTTGCACCGCAAGCAAAGTCAGCAGTCACTTCGTTAACAAATGGAAGCATAGTTATCGGATCAAGCTACCATCTTCAGCTTACGTCGGATCCAATGCAATTTTCTCAAGACCAGGTGAGGTGCTGAAGTCTTTGCTATGATTTGAGTAAAGGCCCTCGCCTCGCTTCTATTGCCATAGCCTATCAACGCCACATTCGTTGCAAAATCCTTACAGGCATGTCTCTACAGTGTCTTCATAGATAGCTGCAACAATTCACGCAGCATCGTTCGCGTTTTCTTAGATATCCGGTTTCATTCATTCAACAGATGTGGCCGGCCATTACGCTGTTTCTTGTGAAAGACATTGCTTTCAATGAAGTACTCCCAAAGAACCCCTGACACAGTGGAGCGTAGAATCTTAAAAATGTCACATCTTCTGAAATGCTGCATCCCGTATGTCAAGCAATAGCTATAATTTTGTGTTTAAACTCGGTTATTTCTTGTTCGATGGCCAATTATCTCGTTATTAAACGTTTCACAAGAATTTAGCAAACGGCACCAACAAATATCTGATTCTTATCTAACACTTTTCAAGAACCACTTGTAAATTTGCATACTTCTATCCTATGACTTTTGTCATGTCTGTGAAACATTAGATTGACCACACGTCATATTTTGAATGGGATATTATGATTTTACCTCTATTCCTCCTGTTGTTGGAGTAAACATCCTAGTGTCTCGTTTCTGCAAATATTGAACTGTGTTCGAATTTTAATCAGTTATCATTCGTGAATAAGTTTACATCAGTGGAACCAATTATTACGGTACTGACGTGCAGATAGGGGTCTTCAAGAATGAAAACAATGTATGTTTGCCGCACCTGTTCCTCTTAAACACACTAGAACGGTAGCAAAACACATAAAGATAGAAAAATACACAAAAGCTTAATGTGAATTAGACTTTGTTAGTACTCTAAAGTATTAGCTGTTCGTCCTATATTTGCAATAGGGAACCACATGATATATTTTTTACTCTTTAAATTTTCTTACTACGTTTTCCAATAATTTGCAGTCACAAATTGAAAATATCAAAGACATTAAGGGCATATTCGATGAAGACTCTTAAAATGAATTTAAGTTCAACTAAACTAAATTATATAGCGATGAAACAGAAGTGTTGTGTGTTGTTTTTCATTGTTCGTCTAGATAACACCTTCCGTTTGTTGAAAGCATAACAATGGATTTTGCTCTAGGAAGATAGCATAAATATGCTAAAACATTTCAGTTCACTTAGCAGCAATACCAACGCAAAACCTCTCTTAAATTCAATAATTTTTCGGCATTCAAACAAATGTTTTAATATAGTACGTCTAGAAACCTGCTTCTCTCCCGTTTTTTTCCGTTCTAATTATGGTAAAGTTAGATGTGATCTGTAAACAATTTAAAATCTAGAATCATCATATCGAAAAGGCAGTTAAATCAAATTTTATCTTTGAATTAAAGCCTAGTACAACAATACGCTTTTATTAAACATGTCACTTCTTCATTAGCTTTTGAGTCATAATTGTTTAAAATTTTCTAAAGAGAGTCGAAAACATTTATAAATATTTTTTTTTTTTTAATTCCAGGCTTCAGCAAATATTATTAACAAGATGGAACCCAAATTCTTGATCATCGTCGATCATCATGTAGACAATGGAACAGATTTCAATCTTTTGGAAAATACAATTGTTATAGCAAATAGTAAGTAACCCAGCTCCACATACCCTAAACTAATAGTTATACTCGCACTATCTTTATAACAACGCAATATGTAATCACGCACTATCGTTTTCGTATGTATTAATTTTAATTGTCTTATGATACCTATACAACTATCCGAATCTCTTTTTATTGCTTGTTTACTTTCCTGAATATTTTAGCATATCTGAGTTAAAATAACGCACAGACTAGCAATTATTGGAGGCTCTAAGACAAGTCGTTTTAATTTTTTATTAATAGATGGTGCCACTAGTCTGATTGCTTTCCTCTCCATTTTATCACCTGAGCATAGGCTTCTCTTTCCTCATTTGCAGTTATGTAGATAAAGAAGTATATTCTGTACTTATAGCTTCGAAACTAGTCCTGAATATGTATGAATATAATATTGCTTGTTGTTGCATTAGCACCTCCAGTAAGTTTAACACGTACTTAATAGATTGAGATTACAAGTTAATATAATTTCACGTATTATTGTTTCCAGGTTGTTCGACTCTTGAAAAAATCATAGTTATTCCCACTAGAGAAGACACTCTGGCTGATGGAATTTCACACATCCGAAACAGGTGATACTTTTGGTGATCATTTTAATTTTCTCTGTTAAATCATTAGTTTATAGAGTTTGGTTTTCTTTGGTAGTATAAACCGGAGTTCTAACAGACTTGAAGCTTTCGCTTGACCTGAAATAACCACAGAGTCTTGGAAAGGTCTAACGAAACCTTTTTATGAAATCAGAACTTGAACATAAAACACACGTAGCGTGCTTACAAATCAACCACCACTAGTAGCGGTGTGACTTAAAGTAACAGACAAATTCAAATTCAAACTAAGCCTAGTAGTTAAAGCCTACACTACAACTGATTTAAATCGAAGTTGGCTCAGAACTTCTCACCGGCGTAACAATTTAAATATCGGCAGCAATAACGCAAAGCTAAAGAATTACAACCTTATCAGAGTTTCTGAACGCAGTAATGCGACTGTGAGAAAGAGAAACTCGATCTGCCTTACAATCCAAATCTCTCTACTTAAATACTCTTAAAATGGTATGCATCCTGGTGAGGCAATGGGAAAGGAGAACTGATAATAAAGCTGAAATTATAAATGAACTGGTTACTGAATAATAACCTTATAAGTTTTCTGATCTTTCCTGGCTGAAAAAAAAATGTGCTATCAATATTATGGTTAGGATTTGTTGAGCATAAAATGACACAGGTATTTTTAATTCAAATGCTTCAAGTTTTCAGTTCGATAAAACTTCGACAGTATATGTTAACTTGTAAAGGTGATCAAGATCTAAGTGTGAAACATACAGATATTGTTAATTTCTTAGATATTTTGTTTACGTAATAAAACTATTCTCGTTTTCAATATGGACTTTCTGATACTCTAAGCGTTTGGCAGATAATGAAAATAGCGTTTAAACTTCAAATGTTCTTAAACAAAAGCGAAGAAATTTTGTCCTTTGGACTTACTCTTTAAAACACCACTTACGTTTTAACCACTGCCACGTTCTACGGATTGCGTGGATTTGCAGTAATTAATGATAGCACGTAAAGAAGAATCAAATCATAGTTTATTCGTCAGTAAGCACTGTTACACAGGACATTTCCAAAAACACGTTTACACTCGGCAATAACTACGATAAAATGCTGAAACAAACAGTGCAGAACCTTCAGGCTATAGAGTGAAGACAACTTTACGGCTAAGCATTAAATACAGCTCTCGATTCGGTCGATCGCTCTCAAGCTATTCTCTGAACTCCAGATACTGCACTCTCCCAGGACAGGCAGGGTATATATAGCTTTAACCTACCTTCAAGAATATTCTCGAGAAAACCGCTAAAAATGTCTTCTAGAATCTTCTCACTCCGCCTATGACATATCACCAATTTTGTCGCCAAAAATTGCCAAATTGGTGGTTTTGACCAAATCTAGCAACCCTGACTTTCCCTACCACTTTCTCGCAACCCTAAGCCCGCTAAGCTATCTCACCGCGTGGCCGCTGGGTACTTCGCAACACCACAATACTTGGAGGACATATCTGAAAGTATTAATTTGCATATCAGATACCGCAGTTTAACAAAAGTGGTGTCCTAATTGCAATAATAAGCATTTTAATAGGTTGGATCAACGTTATTGAGAAGCAAGAAGACTTCATGAATGAATTACAGAAAAACCGCACGCGTGTCTTTTTTAAGGAACAATGCTGAATTCTTTTTGCTAAATCAAGCTACTTCTACGAGATCAACAATAATTAACACGTTTTTAGTTTGTGCGTTTGTGTTTTATACCTTTATATAATTGCATGCTTTTTTGTAGAATTTTTGATAATTTACATTACAGTTTTAAACTTCTTCTATGTCTAATTACATATTTTAGTTTAATAATTTTCACTAAATCTTCTTAAGAGTTTATTCAAATAGATTCAATTTAAAATAATTTTTCTTTTCTTTTCCGAGGAGATAATCATAAAAAAAAAGTTAGTTGAATTTGAATTTATGTTGCCAGATTTTCAAAATGTTCCGACAGCATGAGCATAAACATTTTTCAAGTGACCATGCTCATAAAAGTCTTATATCATATTATTAAAAATTAGTTATATATATTATTAAAAATATCGTCATTTTCGCATGCATTTTTTCCAATTTTAAACGATTATTACAGACGAATTTTATTATTTTTCGCCTTCAACTCATTTTTAAAATACCGCTTGTGGAATTTGCCAACAATCGAAGAAACGGTGGTACAAGTTCTGCTATTTTGCCTCAAAATTGCTAAAGGGAACAGGTTAAAATGTGTTGATAGATAACAGTGCGCAAAATCGAATTTGTGCAATTTTTTGAATTTTTTAAAGCGAAAAGAGATCGCTGTCTACATGGGGAGAAGAACAGCACTAAAAAAAATTAGAGAAGCATTAGGTGAAAAACGGTTTTTTAGTTTTAATTCATGATGATTCCTTAGCTAATGATTTAAATTTGTATTTTAATTTTTTTTTATTATTATTATTCTTTTTTAATGTAGATAGTTTTTGAATTTTTTTTAAAAAAAAGTCCGGGAAAACGCCAACTTCGCACCGGTAAATAATTTTTATTTTTTCATCTATAAAAGAGTCTCATATTGCGCCAAGTTTTGGTACTTACGTAAGTACCAAAACTAGCATGCTCTACTTTTATAGATATTCCTCGCGTTAAAAATGCATATCTTGTTTTTCATTTTAATGGTCTATGGAAACCTAGTAACCTTAAAGCTTTTAGTGCATCTGCACAATTTGTTTCAGTATGCATTGAGAAAACGTCCAGTTAAGATTAATTTAATTTTTTGTGTGTTTTCCAGTTGCTTTTTGGAGCAGTTTCTAGAAGTTGGAAGAAATCCAGATGGTAGCATTCCAGATATAATGTTCGAACAGCTTCCCTTCAATCACCCTATCTGCATCAACTTCACTTCTGGTACTACAGGTCTTCCGAAAGGACCAGTACACTCAGCCGGAGTAATTATGATATTTTTTCCATCTGATTGTCATAGCATCTGCATTATAAAAATTTATCATGTGATTCTCGATATATATCGAAACTTGCTTTTTTTTCTTTAGCTAAATTATATTACAATAACATAAATTATCTGTTATTGTAATGTAATTAATTTCAGTTTCCGACTCGTGTTTGGAATTAAAAAGTATTCGGGATGTTACAATGTGCTTCATTTTAACGCTGTAGTATATAAATCTTCAGAAAAGTTACACTAGAATGTGAACTTTCTTTTTAATATAGGGAAATTAAAAAACTGACTTAAATGTGTATGAGTATTGGATCTAATTTCGCTATCTCTCTCCTGCTATAAAAATTATATAAGCTTTGATGGAACGCATTATTCTCGTTCATATTTCATATTTTCTTATTCTAGCAGATAATTTTCTGAATTTTAGTTATATATACTAGGGCATTTCGAAAAGTAAAGATACAATGGCTCGCATTCCTTAAAAAAAAAACATTTATTTAGAAAACGTCAGTTACATCTTATTAACTGTATTATTTATTATTTTTCGACATAATCACCCCCGTTATCCATACATTTGTTAAGTCGGTGCACAAGCTTTTGTATTCCACAGTCACAGAAGGTTGCCGCCTGTTGGAACAAAGCGCGTACACAATTTTCTGTACCCTAACTTGACAGTCACAACTTCATATAAAAAGTTGTCATTGACACTTCCGGATATGATCGGATGCAATTCTTCTTTCAATTTGAGACGTCTATTCGCACGAATTGCTCTTCCTCTTCTTCTCTGAAGAAGGGCATCAGAGATCACAGAGTAGCCGACCTGTTCTTTGTTCGTCATGAACATCGGTCCTTACCTTCAGAGAAATGACGACACCCATTTCGTTACCTTTTTGTCGATTCATAATGTTCCCAATAGAAACAATTTCTTTCTGAATATCCGCTGGTCGCTGAACTTTGCATGAGAAAACGTATGACGGAGCGCCCTTCGCATTTGGCGGGATTCTGAATCGGCGCAGGCATTTTAAACACGACCTACTCCATCCAGAATCAACGTTGAAATACCGAACGACCGCGAGGAGAAAGCTAACGGTTCAAGATTAACACCTGTGTTGCTAACTTGCTCACCAAAACTTTTCTTTTCCTCTGGCGTACGGTGTATCTTTACTTTTCGAAATGCCCGCGTAATATTATCTAATGTACCATATTTCCCCTTGTATAAGACGCATCTTGACTTTGGAACTCGGAAAAGTAAAAAAATTAATAGATAATTATTTGGTATAGACGCAGGTTTTTAATAGCCCGTTAGACTATAGTTTAATAGGAAAAAAATATTACATAAACTTATTAAAATGTACGTTTATTCAGTATGCAACTCGCTATAACTGTCAGAGCTCCAATCCATTAGCTGGACCTGTGTGGACCTTATCTGTGTACCACTAAAGTACACAATGGCCTAAAGTGCAGTTTCTCGTATCCGTTCATCATTATTAAACACAGTCTTGACCTAAAAGGACTCTTTTGTGGTTCCTTATCTTTAGATTAAAGGTGACTTAGTACACTCAAGAGGAAAGCTCCTTTGTTAGGAACTAGAAGCGACATCATTTGATACTTTCACATCAGTTTGTTCGTTAATGAACTGGAGGAAGAAACTGTTGTGAATCTCAAATGAAATTTTTTTTCGATTTAAAAAAAAAAAAGTTGAGCGTAGGCCTTAGCATGCTAAACAGTGTACTGAGGCAAATTATAAATGCTGAATGGTACATTCGAAACAACAATAACTTAGTGTTGAGTTGCTCAGAACTCATTACTATAAACTAGCAAAAAATTTTTCCGATAGACAACAACTTATGGATAACCCTAGTATAAAGTTATGTGATTATGACTACAATAACCTGAACAACACTGACAGGCTCAGGGCCGAACTAAATATCTGGATAAAGTAAACACTCACACTTTCTTTCCGTGTCTCTGCAAATGTTATGTGTCACCGCAAGTTGGCTGTCTGTGTTCTCTGTATTATGTTTTTGCTTTCTCCTTTATGATTATACCATGCATATTGTGTATTCTGCTTGTATATATATATATATGTTATTTCCGACTCCCAATATTTGCACTTATCTTATATTGTGACATCACACCAGCTCGAGAGCCTCTCGCGTCTGTAGTCATTAACAGCTTATTAATTCCCCAGCTAGATCATGCTCATTTTTAGTTACTAGGCCTTGAACTTTCTACTAGCATAAATCTAAAAAAAATATTTAAATAAAATTATGCTGATTTGTTAGGTTAATTTATATCATCTTTCGAAATCTCTAATTTATTCTACATGGGGTAGAGCCTATAGCTCAGGCACCCAGATGTAGCAAACACCATTCCATAGAGGAGGAGCTTAGCATGCTAAGAGTTAACACGCATGCCCCCATCTGTGTCGTCAATGATAGTTTACCCTTCGTTTCTTTCACTCATAGGCGCAGGCACCACCGTTGTATAAGACAAAGTTAGTTTTTAGACATGAAATTTTTAAAGAGAAAAGTGCATCTTATACTCAGGAGAAATACGTTGGTTATAACGATTTTTATAACAATTTTTCGCACAAAAATCTTTATCTTAAATTTTTTCCCAGACGAGAAAGTGGTTGGGGCCTCTGACTAGAGTACAGAAGGCCCCGGGATTGAATCCTGGAGAAGGTATGGATGTAAATTGTCTGTCCCTTCGTAGGAGAGAGCGGTGCCCCCCCCCCAGTTTAGGTACCTCCATAATAAATAGATCAGCTTAGTAGTGACCAACGTCTATAACGGCATATGCCCGCCAATGGAAAAACATATGTTTATAAGAGGGTAGCTTCGTTTTCTACGCAATATGAATTATACTTATAAAAAGCGCCAGGAAAACTTCAACGCAGAAAAAGCTGGTGCGTTTTGAGAAAGCCTACATATGTATTTTCAGGATGATAGAAGCCAACTGCTTGCATTACAGTTTCCAAGTTAATTCACAAACTGAAGCTCTCGATGCTTTCAAAAATTATCAATAATTCTTAACTATACCAATTCCTCTTAGACAGTTATCCTTCTAGCTATAATTCTATAGACCGAAGCTGTAATTCTATAATCTTTCTGTTCCAAAAGCAGAAAAGGTATTTAAGTTAATGCAAAATCTACAATTCATATTTTACAAATTTTTATCACATTATTATTGTATTGATGTTTAAGGCTTATAGAAGAGTAACAAAAGTTTATTTGAAAACTGTGTTAAATGTAAAAGTACTGCAATTTAACAAGCAATACGACTTTAAACCAACAAAAATCAACAAGAAAGCCAACTTTAAACCAACAAAAAGTAAAGAGTCTCGATCAGTATAAATTTTAAATGAATTGTTCTGCTTGGTAAACTAGTAATTGTTTTGGGAGATTTTTTTCAATCCTTCAAACAATATACTTCTCAAGACCAAATTCTTGCCACTCGCATATTCGCCATTTTGCACAAACTGAAAAAAAGTGCCCCCAAGATGAATTTTTAATCTCCATAAATTCCGCTCCAAATTTTATAAAATTTGATATTTAGGCATAATTTGAGTCGTAGAAACGAAATATGGAAAAACATCGGTATTTTACTTCAGAAAAATTCCGATTTTATATCAAATTTCCTAATGTAGAACAATGCTGTGTATAAATAAATCTATTACATATTTTAAGTCGTGCTTTCGAGACATGGAAAATGCAAGTTAAATTTCGTCAATCGGCCCAATAGAACGGGAGATATAGAACTCCCCCCTTTTTGTGTGTGCATTGAATATTCTCAAATAATGGCATATCGAAAAGCTGAAGTAAAGAATGTTCGAAGATTATCAACATGCGTGAATTTTATCCACATGCTTATTATAGCCGTAAGATTAATTTTTTGATAACTGAGACCACCATTTCCATTTACTGAATCTACTAGCTTAGCTACTCGTCACAGTGCTAAAGCATTTTTGTTAAACTATGACGTTGTCACTTTTTTTCTGTAGAATGGGAAAAAAAGGGAGGTGTTTTTTCTGTACAGAACGATGAAGTTGCACACATCATTTGTGAATATCCTGTATATCAATTAATCCAAATTAAAATTTATGCCCAAATAGTTTACAATGTAAATGAAGCAGAACTGTTTTAATTACAATAATCAACACACAGTTAATCATGTTTAGTTTCAGTAAAATATGCTAAATTTAGTTTTAGAATTTTACTTGATCTCTTTTCTTTAGAATATTTTATTCCTTTTTTATTGTTTTTACTTGGAAACGGAAAATGTAAAAGAAAATAAGACATATTCTTTGCATAGATTTAGCGATAATTTTTAGTTATCATTTTTTATTATTATTAATTTATTGAAGCAATTTTTATTTGCTATCCTGAAATATATTCATTTTTCTATTTTCAGACATTGATCACTCATTTGGAAAACATTGCTTTCCACTACAATTTGACTAGCGGTGATGTTACTATGGCACCCTATGCGGTAATTCAATTTTACATTATTTTAAGAAAGCAGAAAATCATTATATATAAAGCATACAATTTAAATGTTCTGTGCTAACCAGTAAATATGCACTTAATATTACCCTTAAATATGCACGGGAGACTAAAGCTATCAAAATCACATTTATTGCATGGGCAACATACGTTTCAAGAAGAATTGAAGCTTCGTTTATTTTGCAGAGAATAAACAAAATCAGTATCTCTATGTAACCAATGCGGACAGCAATAGCTGATGCCACATAGCTCGACATAGAGAAACAAACATTGGATTCGTGTTTGGGATGTATCTGTTCAGAAGTTTTGAACGTTCCCCTCACCGCCCAAGTTCATTAGTTGTAGCCTCTTCTGTTCTGTAATGTCGTTTGTTGAAGGCGCTGACAAAGAAAAGATGGAACATAATGTCCACTATAAGCAAATTTTGGACACTGCATGCAATAGCGAGTTGCCTTTTATTTATTTTTAAGTCTTTAAATCCATATTTCGTTAGAATAATTTTTCAAATCGTCCCCGCCACATAATATTGCCCTGTATTATTTTTAAAGAAATTATATAACGAAGAATCTGTATAAATGTATAATACACTTATCAATTAAAAAAAATATTCGATAATATTTAGATTATATTAACCGAACTGTTGATATCGCAGTAAGGAATGCATTTTTGACGGTGGCAACAAAGGATGTTGCTATTAAATGGTATTTCTTTTGTTTTACTTTTAAAGAAATAATAGAGTGAATATAAAAAACATATCAGCATTTTATATTTTATCAGGAATTCTAAAATTATACCATTTACCATTTTTTAGCCATTTAACGAAGAATACGGTATTTAAATTTTCTTTTAAATTTAATCTGTTTGTTACCCTAAGCGATTTAACAGCAATAAATGCAGTTCTTTATTTGTTTTATGAATTAAAATAAACAACTACAAAATAACACTAGATTGATATATTTAAAGCATTATATTTTTTTCCTTTTTTATATTAACTACTTTAGGCCGCTGGCCACGAAAGCGGGTAGTTATTTGTAAAGTGCCACTGACGACAAAAGTGATTAGACACAAAAGTGATGTTCGAGAACTATAGCCCTTCCGGGCTAAAAAAATATATGGCAACACTTAACACTGTATCTAGAATCCTAAAGAAATACCGTTTTTAAAAATTTTTCTGATTTTGTTGTTAAATTATATGTGGCATAAGTGTGAAGAAAGGGATGTTTAATAATAAAGTTTAATAGCCGAAAACACGTGTATCAGCAGGATTGGGTCAAAGAGCAGATTGATCAAATGCGAGCTTAATAAGAACATAAAAAGCTTTAACAGATCAATGAGACGGTAGCAACCGATTTTTTTGTGATTTTCTTTCTTAATTTTTTTCTTTTGCTTTTTTACTCTTTTTTCCTTTACTCTTACTTCTTCACTTTTACTTTTTACTCTTTTTTTTTACACATTTTGTCTTTACTCTTTTTTTTCTTTACTCTTGCTTCTTTACTTTTACTTTTTTACTCTTTTTCTTTACGCATTTTGTCTTTACTCTTTTTTTCTTTACTCTTACTTCTTTACTTTTACTTTTTTACTCTTTTTTTCCTTTACTCTTAATTCTTCACTTTTACTTTTTAAATCTTTTTCTTTACGCATTTTGTCTTTACTCTTTTTTTCTTTACTCTTACTTCTTTACTTTTACTTTTTTACTCTTTTTTTCCTTTACTCTTAATTCTTCACTTTTAATTTTTTACTCTTTTCTTTACACATTTTGTCTTTAGCCTTTTTTTCTTTACTCTTACTTCTTTACTTTAACTTTTTTACTCTTTTTCTTTACGCATTTTGTCTTCACTCTTTTTTCTCTTTACTCTTGCTTCTTTACTTTTACTTTTTTACTCTTTTTCTTTACTCTTACTACTTTTACTTTTTTACTCTTTTTTTTTTACTCATTTTTTCTTTACTCTTTTTTTCTTTACTCCTTTTTTTTCTTTACTCTTACTTTCCTTATTCGATTTTCATGTTTCTTTTTCTGACAGATTTATAATTGTTTTGTGTAATTTCTAGGTGGGTTGGAGTCTTTGGGATAGTCTCGTTCCATGTCTGGCTCTGGGCATCAAAATGCTGCTGTACTGCGGTAGTCCCTATATAATGAAAGAAGGAATGAATATATGGGATGTCATCGCTCGATACAAAGTCAAATATGCTTTTCTGGTAACTAGTATTGTAGACAAACTGGAGAAACTGAATATTGTGCCGAGTAAGTCTTTATATAATGCTCTGGAATTCATATTAAATGACTACATAATTTTGTTTTGTGATGAGATGTCGTAGACACACATGAATGAATGAATTACCATGAAGAATGTTTAGCTTGTAGTGTTCTGTGCCTTTGGTTCCAATTTATGCATAAAAAATTAAGGCTAATGAATAAATTGAAAAAAATGGTAGGTAAGTTAAGGAAATATGGAAGAAATGATTTCGAAGATTTTTAATAACAAAGTTTAACCAACAGAAATTTTTTGCAAGTACCAACTTTTAGATTTCAGATCGAAAATCAATGTAAATTTGGATTGTCTCCTTTCCGCAATTCTTATCATTGCTCATGAAAGTTTTGATAAATATTCAGTAAGTGAAATTTAGAATTTAAATATTTAATTATTTATTTACTAGCCCGAATGGCCTATTAATTTCGAAATGGAATTTTGCGTAATACACTATAAACGAAGAATCACTTTCTAAATTGTTGCCACCAAATATTATCGTCCTGTGTTATATCTAAAGAAATTAAATAATGAAAATTCTGCATGGGTGTATGAATGTTTCTCACATTGTGTTAAAATATCGGTACCTAGAGTCATCCAATTTTGAATAACGTAACCCTCCACCCTAACACGGGCACCTGGAAGACCGAATCTGGAATTTGGAATTTGTTTCATTATCTATTTCATATTATGTAAAACTTTAACGAATTTTTGATTAACGAACTCAACGATTTAAAATCGAGCATTGCAACTTTGTGGGGGGGAAAAAAAAATTTATCTCCAGCGCGCGACACTGTCTATCGCAGATTCTAAAAATATGCTTTTTATTAATACTTTTAGCCCAAAGGAACTTTAGCCTAAATGCTCTCCAAACGTGTGTGTGAGTGTAAATGAAAAAACGCCCCTTTGGGGGTAATATAAAATCTAAATCTTTCAGATTTTTTCCCCTTTTTTCCTTTTCCTTTTTATTTATTTGTTAATTAAGTTGCTTATTTACAAATTATAATAAAATAATAATCTTTCAAATTATGGCAAGCACTTATTTCAGCAACCGAAATTGCAGTTTCTGAAATCTTTACTATTACTTCCTTCTAATTCAAATGCTTATAATTCTTTTTTACCATTCCAGGCCAAAATTCAAATTTAGACCATTTCAAGACGTTGTTTATCGGTGGCTGTCCTGCCAAAATTCAAAATTTTCTGTACATACAGAACAGGATTAAAAAGGATTTATTCATGGGTAGCCAATACGGTAGGTTTATTTCAATATTAATAACGAAAAAGCTTCTCAACTTTATACCTTATACTTACGTGTTATTTACACTGACAGTATAAAACCATTGTCACACCCATCAGTTACAACACAACTAAACCTTCGGCAAGCCGTTAGCAGTATTCGGTATCATTTTTATTTTCAGATGAGTTGTCAAAATATACAAGCCATCAAAACGTTAAAAATTCAGATGTTTACACATTTTTAGAATGATTTAGGGGCCATTTAATTACAGTTTAAAATGCAAAGAATATTTTTTTTTAATGTTCGATTCGTCAGCCCTTTTCTGCACCATAGATGTGCATCCTAATTTCTGGTGATGATAAAAGGGCTTTTCATAAAATTTTCAGGCCTAACGATTTTCATTCCTCTTCCACTACGTTCCATAGTCCATCAGTCATCAATCTTATCAACTATATTTCGACTAATTGCGATAGTCTAAAAGCTACTTAATTCTTTCACAATCATTAATTATCGTCATGCTCCTTCAAAATCATCTGTCAACGTTTGCCTTCTTTCAACTCATCATCTATCAACGTTATCTGTCAATGATTATCATCTGCCATCATCTATCTACCTTTGTTCATCTTCTCAGTCCTTCTTTTCATCGTCTTGATCATCATGCAATGATGAGCTTCAATAATGTCAAGAAACTATCATCATCATCTATCATCTTTATCCATCTTCGTCAGTCTTCTATTATCATTACTTATCAACACATTCATCCTCTGTTACTGTCCTGCATAGCACTTCTTCGTCACCCAACCTCATTATCATCTCTTTTTTTCATCCATCATCTACATCATCATCGCTTTCCTATATCATATATATATATATATCATCGTTTATTGCCATGTACTTTATTTTTAGACTATAACATCGTCTCCTTCCATCTTCTCAATTCCTTTTCTTCATCGTCTTCTTCATCAAGCAGTGCATAGTTCCAATACTGTCAAGAATTATAATTATCAAAGACTTCATTTATTTGACACTATAAGACTAGTCTCATCAGACACTTCAAATTCAGACGTGTTCTATATACCTTTTATTATTAACTCTACAGAATAAAGACTCTTTGAGTTTTGATTTTTTAAAATTCATTTAATACTTCTCCATTATCATTATTTTTAATTTCTTATTTAATTTTTACTTTTAAAAAATTCCAAATGTTATGTTTTAAGACAATTACTATGTTACAACTTTATGTTCTTATTATTCATGTATATTTTACAAAATTCATTAATAAATGTAGCGGATGGTAGATGATTCCATCAGTTGGCTGACGGTTTTACCGTTACCGATTATACCCTTTGCTTGTTTTTGGACTCCTAGGTTTTAGTAGTGCTATCATTTCAAGTTTTTGAATAATGACACTGAAATATTTTTCATCTTAAAGCCCAAAATCATATCCTTCAATCCTCAGCAATCTGCTACAATATCGTTAAATCTACACCTTTTAGATGAATGCAATTTGAGGAGGAAACTGACAAGATAACATATCAGATAGATGATTTTCATGTTTTTCAGGCTTGGGACAATGACTGAATGATAAGATTGCTGACCTCATTGAAATTCTAACTGGGTTCAGTATCCTGTCGAACAGGTTGACTACATTGCTGTTGTTGGTGTTTTTCTCCATGTAAAACGCAATTGCGATCTAGTTTCCCGTAAAATTTCCTTCACAAACTATCATTCCTGCACAAGTAATTCTGTGGTTTCTTAATGTGTGACATGGCAAGAAAATGTGAGAAATTTGTCTCTGCAGGAATTATGCCATGATGACATACTACATTCCTGATTTGGAAAAAAACAGCTTGAAAACTTTGCAACTTGCAACAGTATTTGAGGGTGGGAAACTAAAAACCTTATATGCTTTATATTTTTTAACTTGTAGGGTTATATTTATTTAAATAACATTTATTTTAAGTTTAACTATCTTTCCTGTCAAGCCATTTTTCCCCTGGAACTGCCAATGCCCAGAATATGTAAATTTGAGTAGAACGCGCAAGGATTCAAATTATCAGCGGAAGTATTTGATTTAAATAGAAGGGAAACAAGTTCGGTGTGTGAGATTCTTACTTAGCGAGCGCGGAGGTAGGTTAGCGAGAAGAAACCCCGTTTGCGGCCTATTGTTGGTGCGGGCCTAATGGCGGGAAGTAGTTGCAATCCAGTGAGCTTCAAGTCTGCTGAATTAGCAGCGGTATTGTAAAACGCGGTGAGTTAGTTATTTTAGAGAGCCTCGTAGTTAGAATCTTGTCTTTACTTCTTTTCAGGTTATTATTTTTATTTTTATTTTATTTTGACTGCCAAGTTGGCCACAGTTTGTAAGCGTCAAAAGGACGCAATTGTAATTTATTACGTTGAATAAAAAGGGACTTAAACCCTTTACAAGACTCTGTGGGTTTATTTACAAGCTTTCCAGGAACACCCTTGGTGCGTAGTTGGAGGCGCGCAACGTTATATTGGCGCCCGAACACTTATCGAACTGAAATGGCCGAAAACTGGTATGGAAGCCGCTGGACAACACCAAGAAATGACAACGCAGTTAGAAGGATTTGGATACCTGGTCCAGACTTTGAGAGCATCAATCAAGCCAAACGTCTATTTCGACGGAAAAATTCGGTGGCGGTATTTTAGAAGGTATAGAAAACCACTTTCATCAGCTCTACCCTGTGCCTGAAAGACAAAAAGTTGCCATCGCCACATCAGCACTAAGAGGACAGGCCGCGCTATGGTGGAAAAATATAGGCAAATTTCTTCTAGGTGAATTTGGAAGCCCGACGTATACATTTGAAAATTTCAAAAAATCGTTAGTAAAGGCCTTCCCTCCATAGTGAAAGATCTCGCACGGCTGGAAGCCGAGCTATATAGTTTCTATCAACGGGATACAGCAGATTTGACGGACTTTATTTTACGAAAAATCAAGCTAACGGATATGCTGTATGGGAAAAACCCGATGCGGAGATTATTGAAATAATATTACCAAGATGTTACCCGCTGTCCAAGACTACTTTGAAATTAGAAACCCAAACACATTGCAGGAACTTTTCGAATTGGCGGTGAAGTTTCAAAATCGCAGAATAGCGGAAAAGCGAGAGGGGAAACATATTCTCAACAGTACCCGAAGGAAGGAGGAAACCAGAAATGGAAATCGCTCATATGGGGGAAAGAACTATCAAGCTAACGCATCGAAACTCGAAGGTCAAGGCCAAAAAGAAAATTTGAAAATAAGCATCCGCGTACCCCAGAAGACACAGATTGAAAGGAAAGCTTTAAACGACTAGAGGGCCTGTGAAAGGGAGGGTCCAGACCCCGGAAGTTTTAAAAAACCCTCAAATAGACATTAAATACAGTCATCGTAAAAAACTCACAGCTACCAATTATACAAGTCCTGGTTGGCGATGTACCAGTAGAAGCCCTCATCGATACAGGAGCAGAAGGAATTCATGAGTGAAAAGTTCTTCAAAAAGAATTTTTATAGGATACGACTATTTAAAACCAAAATACGGAAATTATAGCGGCGCGCAAGGAAAACATGTCACTGCATCGGGAAAGTATCATTAAACGTACAGGTAAAAGAGGAAAATCTCAAAGTATTAATTTTTGTGGTGAAACACCTGCAACACTCTCTTATTTTAGGTATGGACTTTTAATAGCCGCGAGGCCAAATTAAATTTTCAAGATAGTTCCGTGGTGCTGGAGATGGACCAGAGGGTGGTGGAACCTGTGGAGACACCTGAAGTGGACCTTAGCCATTTGAATGACCAGGAAAGTAAAGCAATACAGCAAGTGGGTGAGTATTTTTCTCATTTGTTTTCAGAAAAACCAGGAAACTGTCAAATCGTGACTCACAAGATTCAATTAAATGCCGAAAAACCTTGTAGGACTAAACCGTATCGCTATGATAACAAAAAGACTTAATCATCGAAGAACATATTCAGGAGATGTTAAAGAATAAAATAATAACGCCCATAAATAGTGAGTACGCGAGTCCAGTCGTACTATGTAGGAAAAAGAACGAGTTTCCTCCTTCAGATAAAAGGGCTTGGAGGTTTGCTATCGATTATAGAAAACTAAATAGTATCACTAAATTTCCAGTTTACCCTTTGCCGGTTATAGACGAGATTTTTAGACAATCAAATCGACGAATATCTATGTCTACTTTGGACTTAACGTCTGGCTACTATCAAATAGCTATGAGACCCGAAGATATACACAAAACCGCGTTTATAACAAAATCGGGCACTTATGCATTTTTACGCATGCCCTTTGGGTTGTGTGGGGGCCCCATCAACATTCCAGAGAGCTATGGACATTGTTCTAAAGCCTGTCCTAGGAAAATCAACTTTAATTTATCTAGATGATATAATTATAACGAGTAGTACGTTGGAACAACACATTAATGACCTCGAACAAGTTTTTTAAATTATTAAAAGAGGCCGGTCTTACAATTAACGCCTCAAATGCAAGTTCGCAAACTAAAGAACTTAAATATCTCGGTTATAAAATTTCGCAAAAGGGTATAGAAACGCAAGATTCAAAAATAAAGCTATTAAGAATTTCCCACCGCCCAACACCGCCAAGAAACTTTCGTCTTTCCTTGGATCATGTTCTTACTATCGATCTTTCATAAAGATTTCGCTAATATTGTTGAACCACTCTTAGTAATCAAAAGAAAAAGAGTAAATTTACGTGGACAGCGGAAGCTAACACAGCTTTTGAAAGATTAAAAGAAGCGCTTATTAATGCCCCTGTTTTAAAATTCCCTGAGGGGGACGAAAACCTGGAAATTGCAGCAGATGCGTCAGACTATGCGGTGGGTGCGGTTCTTATGCAAAATAACCATCCGCTGGCATTTTTTAGTAAAACATTGAATCAGACACAAAGGAATTATACAGCTACAGAAAGAGAAACATTAGCCGTATTAATGGCTGTACACAAATTTCGAGTTTATTTCGGCAAATCGCCAGTAACAGTCTTTTCGGATCATGCGGCTGTTGGTAGACTTTACTCGGGGAAAAATCTAACGCCCAGGTTAATAAGATGGGCTTTAAAACTCCAAGAATATAATATCACAATAAAATATAAACCGGGTAAGGAAAACAATGTAGCTGACGACTTTCTGGTATAAAACTGGACGACGAAGGAAATGAACTTAAATGCGCTGTGTTGACTTCAAAAATTTTAGATTCTAGAGATACGGTTATTACTGAACTGAAAGCTGATCCTGAATTTGGAAATATCTATGCTTATTTGAAAGAACCCCGAAAGCTTTGAGCACACAGATATCGATGCGATAAGAAATAGAGCAAAAAACTATGAAATAGATAATTTATTATTCTATACGAAACAACAAACGAAAATCTTGACAGTCATCCCAGCCTCGCTTCGATTAAGCATTTTGAGGGAGTTGAAAAAAAAAACAGGGCCACCTCGGGGTCAGGGTAGAAAGACTAAAAAAGGGTACGCGAGGCGGTATATTATCCCGCAATTATACAAATAGTAACGGCGTATGTCAGGTCCTGCAATCAATGTCAGTTAATAAATGATATTAATTACAGCCCGGCCGGGTTACTTAATAGCATTCGCGCTACACATTTCCGAATGAATTTTAGGCATAGATCTCCTTGGTCCCTTCCCCCAGAGCGAGCTTAAATAAAAATCGTTTCTTTTAGTAATAGTAGATCATTTTTCAAAATGGATAGAAATTGTTCCTCTTAAAAACGCGCGTCAGCCAAAACAGTCGCAGATGCATTCTTACACAGATACATTTTAAAATACGGTGCACCGATAAAAGTCATTAGATAACGGAAAACAATTCATTAGTCAAGTATTTGAAAACATATGCAATGGACTTGGCATACGCCATATCAAAATGGTTCCGTATAGACCACAGGCTAACATAGCAGAAAGAGTTAATAAAAACATTGTAAAAATAATTCGCAGTTACGTTAGCACACATCACAAGCGCTGGGATGTCTACATAAATGAATTAGCTTATGCTTTAAGAACGGCACATCATGATACTACGGAAAAACTCCAGCAGAATTATTTTTAGGCAGAAAGTTAATTACGCCTTTAGATAAATTATTCTTTGTGCAACAAAGAGAGCAGGAGTTTAAACAACAAGATGTGCAAAAGTTGATTGATCAGGCGCTTAAAACCTCGGATACGGCAAGAAATAGGCAGAAACTTTATTATGATAGAAAACGCCGTGAAGCAGATTTTAAAGTTGGGGATAAGTATTGAAGCGGAAATTTTCTTTATCAAGTGCTCCAGACAATTTCATGGCAAAGCTAGCTTGAAGGCCTCTATGTAATTCAGGAAATCAAAGGGGTAGTATTATATCTTAAGAACGACAGAGGAAATCTGTAAAGCAAGTCCCGACCAGGTGAAAAAATACTATAATCCAAATGATTTTGAAATCTTAAAAGTTTCTTGCAGGACTCAAGTCTAAACGAAATAGAAGGGCCAGAGACTACTAACAACTATTCCACCACCCAAGAAACAGAGAACTGAAGAGAGACCTAGCACTTCTACAAACCCGGACGTCGGTATCAAAAAGAAAAATGATTTTCAAACTCCGGCGTTTAAAAAAAACAAAAATACAGATGAACCGGGTAAAGAACCGTGGTAAAGAGAAAAACACCACCTACAAAGGATGGCAGAAGAAATTACACATCAAGGAGAACGCGCACACGGCCACAGAGTCAGGTGCCAGCAAGGCCGCCATTCCGGAAAACTGAAACGCCAGCAGGAGGCACAAAAATACGAGGAACAGAAGAAATTCAGAGAGGACTCCACACGGAGGACGTCAAGACAGCCGCCAGCACCCAGGCAGAAACGCAAAGGCCAACAACCAGACGATTACTCCGTCAAGAGGCCAGCATGTAGAGGACGCAAAAGAAAAAGCAACGGGGACGACACTCGGAGATCAATAAGGAGAAGATTGACATCCATGAAACCTCTAACTTGGGATCAATTTTTGCCAAAAACGGATGACGGAGTTTCAAGCATCGAAAACTCAAAGATAAGTTAAAACCTTCTATAAATTTTTTCTCTCTTTTGTTCCGAAATGTTATGCATAAGTACGAAGTTCTATGTTTTGACGAAAGTCAATATGTCTCGGTTGAGACTTAGTTTTGTTTTACTTTATTTAGCTAAGGCAAAAGTATTATTTTCTTTGAGTGTAAAAGCTAAAAACAAGCATTTTCTGTTGGTCGAAAGACTAATTCTGTTATGTTAAAGCCAAAATTTGGCCGAAGATAAAAATAACTTCGTATTCTTGTATTAATAAGAATTTTACTTTCAGTGCCGCCAGCTTGGCGAAGAATGAGTAAAGTAAAAATTTATTTTCTCTTATTCATTTTATGGTAAATTGTAAAAAGCATATGTATTAAAATTTGTAAATGTATGTAAATACTTGAAGGTTATGTAAAAGTAGAATTTAGTCTAGAAGCATAAAATTGTAGATGCTAAAAGTTAATGCTTAAAAGCAATGAAGTCAAAATTTAAGTATTAAACTATAAAGTCATGCTTTAGAGCGAAAGCCTGCATGTTTAAAGATGAATGAGGGGGAAGTTAGAATGAATGTTTTGTAGGGTTCTCCACCTACATTTGAATTTTTAAGACTATTAAAGTAGCTCATTGAGTTGTAGAATGTCGAGTAAGGTGTGTCTATTTGGTCGTTGAATTCTAACAAATCATGGTGGTTAGGGGAAGTGTTGTAAGACTAAAACACGAATATTCCGGTTTGACACCACACACGGTGGAGAGCCAGGGTAAAGTTAAATTAATGCTTGAAAAATTGAATGAATGTGAAGTAAGCAATAACTAAGAAAAACGAATCGTTTTAAAAAACAAAATTTATTGTGTCAAGAAAGTGTAAATTATAATGTATGTAGAAAGATACTGATACTTATTCCTTCCAGATGCTGGAAGGAAAGACCAGATTGATTGATGAAGTCCAGGAAAAGTTGCTGTAAGAAGAAAGCTTTGTAACGAGCAACAGAATTTTAGTATAATTGTGACATAGATTTTTTTTTTTTTTTTTTTTTTTTTTTTTTTTTTTGTGTGTGTGTGTAAACGAGGTTCTCGCCAGTTAGTTCAGAATTAGAGAAACTTACAACAGGTCGTTTGTAGGACCTGCTTCAAAGTTTTCCAAATTCTGGCAGCGGCAAATGTAGGGTTTATATTTATTTTAACTAACATTTATTTTAAGTTTAAACCATCTTTCCTGTCAAGCCTTACTTTCCCCTGGAACTGCCAATGCCAGAATATGTAAATTTGAGTAGAACGCGCAAGGATTCAAATTATCAGCGGAAGTATTCTGATTTAAATAGAAGGAAACAAGTTCGGTGTGTGAGATTCTTACTTAGCGAGCGCGGAGGTAGTTAGCGAGAATTGAAGAACCCCGTGTTGCGGCCTATGTGCTTGGCGGGAAGTAGTGGAAATTGTTCCAGTGAGCTTCAAGTCTGCTGAATTAGCAGCGGTATTGTAAAACACGGTGAGTTAGTTATTTTAGAGAGCCTCGTAGTTAGAATCTTGTCTTTACTTTCTTTTCAGGTTATTACTTTTATTTTGACTGCCAAGTTGGCACAGTTTGTAAGCGTCAAGAGGACGCAATTGTAATTTATTACGTTGAATAAAAAGGGACTTAAACCCTTTACAAGACTCTGTGGTTTATACAAGCTTTCACAGTCACCCTTGGTTGCGTGCAAGTTGGAGGCGCGCAACGTTATAAACTGTTTTCGCAAAACAGCTTTATTCCATCAGTGGCCGTGGCTAAGGCCTCTGAATAGTCGCTTGAGGCCAGACGAACGTGACCTACATGGTTGTTTTCGTCGTTTACCCCATACGCCGCCTAGACGAGATAGTGATTAAAGACTCTGACTGACGAGCCGGGATTCGAATCCCGGAGAAATCATGGATATTTGTAAGGATATAGTGTGTGTGCGGCAAGGGACGCCAAATTTACTAGGAACCGAGATCGTGTATATATAAATATAAAAGGGAATTACAGTACGAACCGAGTTCATCTCGAGAAGTTAGTGAGAGACCCTCGGACCGCATTCTAGTGTGTTCTTTCTCAGAACTCAATCCGGGGCGGGAACTTAGCAGTTAGCGAAGGCTGGCAATGCTTAATATGCCTACCTTGTATGCACAGGTGCCGCTTTGCTTCATCCTGTAACTTTTTATCCCATATGTAATTGAATGCCAGCCACTGTCGTTCACGAAAACATCTCCCCTTGAGACAGAAACTCTCATTTGCTTTGACGCATTCAAATAACCTAACCTAACCCCAAAAAGCTTCCTTATCGGGCGTTAGAAGAATCCACAATTTAGTCTTTCTTTTTTCCCCCTCTCCCGTCACCCTTCGCATTATTTTTCTTTAGCATGCTATTTTTATGCACGCGCCATTGAACTGTGTTGTATCTTTCAAAAATGGCATAATTTCTTTTATTTACCATCAATAAGGCTGCAGAAATAGCCATTTTAAAGCGGTATTATCATTTGATATGGCATGAGATCGTCAAGTTATTTTCAATTTAAAATACTGCGTTGCTTAATAAACTCAACGAATGGAACAACAAACTGCGAACAAAAAACTTAACAATTGAATTTCATTAGTATGTCTTTTTTTTTTTTTTTTTTAATTATTATTATTATTATTATTATTATTATTATTTCTTAGGAGCCACTGAGACATTTGGAACCTTTTCTGGCTTCGATTATAACTTACCTGGCTATGCTGGCGAAGTTCAGGCCTTCGCTCTGGGAATGGATATCAGGATTGTTGATTGCAATGGTAAGTAATTCATTCTCTTCTCGGTTTAGGAGGTATTTTTTCACTCTTTTCTACATGCCTTCGTGGTGTAATTGGAAGCACACTCGACACTTATTCGGGAGGTCCGGAATTCAAATCCCAGACAAGGCACTGCGTATTTTTCAAGTTTCTAGCATCGAAAATCTTAATATTTCTACAAATGATGTCCGAAATAAAACGTGGTGGGCGATAGATAATTTGTCACCACCTGGATTTGGCTATTGGGTCCGTTCATTCCCAGTCGCCCTTTAAAAGGGGAAGTATATAAGGCATTTCTTCCTCCTTTTCGCATAACTTCGTGGTGCAACCAACAGGCCACTCACTCGAAGCACATACGGGAGATCCGGATTTCGAATTCCGACGCGGTCATTGCACATGTTTCACGTTTCCAGCATCGAAAATCCTAATGACTCTACAGCCTGATTTAATACCTCGGTTAGTTTTTTTGGATGAGACATAACTTAGTCCAGAAATTTTTCAACCCTTTTCTTGCATCGACTGTTTTAAAAGAATGATTTTTCTTCATTAACCTCTTTAAATTATTCCATACTAGTGGAAGTATCCGATGCCAGTAAAATTAGATTGAGAGTAATGTATCTAGCAGCAGAGAGAAGGCTACGGCTGAAATCCTTCTCTAATAACTATGAAAAAAAAAGTACGATTCATAGTCATACCATTTTTCCCTTGATGCGATATGGAACCCACATAAAAAATTCCCATAGGAAAATAAACTAATTCTCATTATATCTGCAGCAATGGCACACTGTTTTTAATGATTTTTTGTCGTTCTAATTGAATGGTCGTAAAAATTGAATATCTATTCAATATTTCACCTATATTCAATTTTAGTTGATTAAATGTGACAAAAATTTATCATAATTGATCAGAACGTGAAAAACAAACGAATAAGCATTCTTCTTTGTATAGACTTTGTAAAACTTACAGACGACTTTGTAAACGGAGACGTGAAAAATGTGCAACATCCTCACCGAGACTCAAACCTGAACCTTTTGAGTGTAACGGTAGCCGAGTGTGTTACCGTTACACCACGAAGACATGCAGAAAAGAGGGATAAAATACTTTATGCCTTTTCAAGAAAACTATGTCCGTGATCTTAATTATCCATTTTTAAGCGATTCACTTTCTTTAATCTAATTATGTTGAATTTTACATCAGCTTGAAATTTGCGTTCTTGAAACTGAAACTTGCATGCCTTTCATTACAGGCCGCTCTGTCATCGGTGAAAGAGGAGAACTCGTGGTAGCCACGCCCAGTCCATCCTTTCCCATTTGTCTGTGGAAAGATGTCGATAACACCATACTGAAAAACACATTTCTCAGCAAGTATCCAGGTAAATGTCGATGACCATTTCCAATGAGAATGGCTTGATTTTTAATTTAAATCTTATCTTTGATAAGGTAAATTCTTCATGCTTTCAAACATAGTATCTTCTTTTTTTTATCAGGAGTATGGTGTCAGAACGATGAATGTTGGATCAATCCAGAAACAGGGGGACTTGTCGTCATTGGAAGGAGGTAGGCAAATATATCTATTAGCAGTATGTATGTGTGAAATGACATGAAAATTATTCTTTTGTTTGGTTGCCAATTTTATTTATTAGCCCAACAGGCACATTAGTCCCGAACGGGATATTAGTCTCGAAACGGTATTTAGCGTCCATAATCTCATGTAACACAAATATATCTCATATAACATAAAATCTCATGTAGCACAGTTCCGCGATTGGTTTGGTTGGGTTTATTTGATTATGGCAAAGCACTCGAGGGCTATCTGCCTAAAGGGAAGATGCCTCCGTGGTGGACTTCCTAAGGGGAGCTGGCTCGGACACACGTTACACATGGGATAAACTACGAAAACCAACCACGCAACCAGACCGTTCGCCGGGATGGGAACCACAGTCAAAACTAACTTACTTTACCGCTTGCCCGCTGGTGAGTTGGTTCTGGTCGTACTGTATTTTTCTATTTTTATGATGTTGTAGGATTTATTTATGTTAATTAGCCAGTTATTTTATGTTTTGAATCTGTACTCTCATTTCTCTCTTTCCATTTTCCTACGAGACGGCAAATTGGCTCTCGCGTATTTAAGTGAGGGTTTGAGATTGTTTAGACAGAGCGTGTTCAGCCTGCTGAAGGCCACGTTACCAGTTGCCTATTCTAAGATAAGCGTTCCTCTCTTTCGCGTTGTTTTATTCTACCAGATAGTACTTTGTGTCGGTGTAAGCTTAAGAGCCAACTTTCACGCTTAAATTACTCTGCATAGCCTTTAGCTATTCTATACTTACGTTTAGTTTTAAATTTTTAAATTCCGCTTTGAGTTCCGGCCATAATACCTGACTGATTTGTAAGCACCAGGTGTGCTTTCTGTTATTCAACTTCTTCAACTTATTTAGTTTTAAATAAAGGGGTCTTTTACACTCTTCTTACATTTCTGTGCTTCATCCAAGTGCGATAAATCGCTTGCAATCTTACTGAGGATTTGCCACAGTTGCATTTAGTAAAAAGCTCATCCTTAGAATGTAAAACATATTTTTTAACATCTGATGCCAGGGTCCAATAACGGCCGATCGGTAAAGTTGTTGAACACTGGTAGTTCGATCCGAGGCTCGAATTCGACAAATGGGCTGGCAGCACGGGCATTTTCGTGGTTTTCCCTGTTATACCATTCAGTTTTCCTTAAAAAATCCCTCACGAAGGCTTCTCTACCCTTAAGCAGATAACCTTCGAGTGCTTTGCCGTAACCTCATAAACCAACCAAACCAATAAGTTAAAAGTTTTATATGCTGAGCTGTCTTTTATAATGTTTTATTCCACAGTTACTTGCCGAATATTTTATTTTCAGCAGTAGCAACATGTTTCTTTTAAATTGTTGAGGTCTCTGATTAAATTTCAAACATAATATCCTAAGCTTTGCAGAAAGATAACACATTTCTTCTAAATTCACCTTGTTTTATAATGGTCTTGTTATAACATTTTCGTGACAATCTAATATTTGCTTAATTTTTCTTTTAGTGATGATACCCTAATTCAAAACGGGGAGCGATTTGGAGCTGCGGATGTTTATTTTGCTAGTAAGTAGTAATTTAATAAACACTTCAAATGTATTTTGTGATAAGCCTTTTTTTCTTTTAATTCTAGCATGGTAATTTCGATTTTCTGTATTTCGGCGACTTTTATAGTTCCCGCAGCATAGAATATAGGTGTGTTTACAATTCACACAACACCGATTTTTTTAACAATTTTCCGAATTTCTATGATGGTATGTTTAATGTATCTATGATATCTGTGTTGGTATGTTATATTTCAGCATGTCTCCACATATAATTGTTTTATGCATTATCATCTTACTGTTTCCATATCCTACCCCTGCATGTATATAACCTTGTACAGTAGAATATTTTATCTTACGCCAGTCAGGCGCAATAAGTGAAATCTAATGCACCTACGTCCGAGTCCTTGATATTTATATAGACACTGGTGGACGTGGCGCTACACCAATTAACCATATGGTAAAAGGATGGTGCCCACGACCTTCGTCGCATGTTGCATGTCGCATGATGATATGTTGTTCATCAATCCTCTATAAAATAAACTTCGCTTCCATGTTATAACTTTCCCAAAGTATATTTCGTAAATTCCAGCTGAGAAATCTAAATGTACCTGCTGCGGAAGTGTCGCTAAAATGATAGCTATTTATTATAGGATATTAGAATATAATAAAATTAGATTATGAAATGCGTGCTTAGATAGGTAGCAGACAAAAAAATTGTTCTTAAGAGTTTGAATATTTTATAAATATTTACGCAAATTATGAAATTAAAAAAGCTATTTCCTATGACATATCTTATACAATAATTTGGGGGACTGTAGTAAGATGGCTTTTGGTTATTTAAAAAAAAAAAGATTTCTAATCACAAAATAAACTCGAAACTAATGCAATTTAGTTATTTTATAACACGTTCTGTCATCTATAAATAAATTCGGAAACTAATTTGAATTTTTGAAAATTAACAAATTTTAAACATGGAACCAATCCAGAATTACAGTATATCTCAAGTACATTACATTAGTATGTTGCTTATGTATTCCTACAGAAATAAGTAAATTTGGTAATGAAATGTTTAAAAATAATTAGCTCTTACCTAAAAACATTTGTGTAAGATAAATGGCACAGGTGAATTCAGTAATTATAAGTATCATATCCAAGCGATAAATAAAAATAAAAATGAATAAATAATTAAATTAAAAGAAATCAGTAACTAGTACGAAAAAATAAGCAAACCATTTTGAGTTTGCAAAAGATAATAGCTTATTTTAAAATATATGTGCAGAGGGTGCGAAGGATGATAGACTATGACAACACTAATATTGTTCATAAACTCACCATCACACCTGTTAATAATACAACTTGTGTAAAATTAAGAGAATTTGCTCATTATGTCTATGTCGAATTTCTGAAAATCTAATGGTGAGATTTTAATGAAATTTGCTGTGCATATACATTTATAACAGAGAATGAGATGTGCCATTCAAAAGTTATTTTATGTACGTATAATTATCAGTAAAGCTCTTACTGCAGGGATGTACAAAATTCGTGTTTTAATATCGAACTGAAAACAAGTCTAATATAAAGTACGGTCCCCTCTTACAGCCAGACAGGTCGCTTAGCGTGACAGCATTCTGGACAGGAGGCAGTTGAGGAGTCCCTGTGGTAGTCAACACCACTCCTGCAGCAAAGCAGAAGCTCTCGGACGGGAAGGGGAGATGAAATTGTCGTTCCGAAAGCCTTCCAGATATGCTCAGAATTAACGTCAGGAATGCTCAGGAAATCTGGCTGTCCAATCCATGCAGCGGATATCCTCACTTTTCAAATAATCGTCCTATGGATGGGCGTTGTCGTCCATTAACAAGAATTCAGGACCCACTGCTCCCCTGAAAAGTCGGACTCTTTGCTGTACCACTGGCTCTAAGATCTCTTCGCTGTACCACATAGAATTGTATCTCATAGGGGTTTTCATCAAACACATGTAGGGGTGTACGGCCGTCCAACATAATGCCCGCCCAAACCTTTATATCTCCACCACCGTATTAAGGATAGCATCGTGGTCCAGAACTATAACAATCCTGTGCCGCCGGGCTGAAAGTGCCAACGATCCTCATTCATGTTGTGGACCTTGATCGACCTTGTCCACATTTTCTCGATAAGAGTCCAGTATTCTGAAATTGTATCCATGAACTGAATATGACACTGGGCGTTATTTTGAGCTCCTGTAACCACCTGCGCTTGCGATTGGCCTACCTCCAATCTACCGACCATTCTCCATCTCATACCGTCATCCATATGTTCGCGGCTTCTCATTTTACCTGTTGCCTTATAAATTTTACCCAACCCTTGTAAGAAACACGACGAATGTCGTGAAGGAACAAAACACATAAATCGCCGAAAACCCCTGGTTCATTCACTCCCCTCCACAATCGCAGCTGCTCAGACACGCACGTGTACGCTTACATATTAGACTCTGAATACTTGCATAGTTGTTCGGAGGATAATTAGTATCTTTGGTTTAGTATTTTTGGTAAAAAATAGGCATAATAGGCAAATTCTCGTAATTTTTCAGAGCGTATATATTTAAAGAAGATTTATTTTATATTTATCTCAATTCCTTATGAACTTTGTGTGGATTGCTAAAGTTTTTAAGAAAGGAAAACCACTTGCAATTAAAACAAAATCCAAACGTCATTATAATTAGAATTAACTTTATTTCAAAGTTAGAAAGGGAAGTTTTTAAGCCATTGCTGATTAAAAAGGAGAAATTTTTAAGCCATTGCTGATTGAAAAATTTTGAATCAAGTATTTCTAATATCTGATTCAAAACCTAATTTGGCTGCATTACATATTCAACCAACAGATCCAGCAACACTCTTTCCACAAAATATCACACAAAATGTCCATAAAGAACTGAGTTAGTAAACCGATTCATCCTTTTCCTCCAACATCCTCGCCTAAACTGTGGTGTAGTGGTCGAATCTGCTACCCAGAGCTGCTGTTATAATCGAGAGTCGAAATAACCTTCTAACTCAAGTTCTAACAATAACATGAACTTTAATTCAAAAAAGACTTTTAACAATTGCGTTTCATGTCGATATGGGACTTGGATACGTTCAGTCCCGTAATTTCAGAAATTTATTAAAGGGCAAATGAAAACAAATACAAAAGTAACTTTGTTATCCTAAGTAAGTAATATGTTTCAAGCTCGATTTGGATAATCTTCATGAAGGGAATACACTAACGGAATGTGAACGGGAAGGCCTTTTTCAGAAGTGTAGAAAGCAAGGCTCTGTGAACTGCTGTCTTAAGCCCTGTGTGTCTCAGACTGGCGTTCCCAACCAAAGTTGCTAGTTCAGTTTGGAACAATTGTTGGACTTTTTCATTTTCGTTCTTGAGTCTCTCCTTGGCTGTCTTCTTCACCTCGTCATTTACGGATCTAGTTCTTTTAAATTTATTTATTAGTTTATGAACTGCCCTGTCTCTAATTTCGTAATCATTAAACTTTCTCTGAAATTTTTCTCTGACTTCCGTGATTCATTATCTAAGAATTTTCCGCTGAAACCGGGGGGAGGGAGAAATTCCTCTCCTAGCATGAAACAAATTGTCCACATTCTGAACCCCTTCTTTTATTTCTGGAACTGTTGGAGTGACCTTCGAGGCCGAAAACAGAATTATTAACAAAGTGACCTCGATGCAACAGGATATCTCCTCTGGTGTGAAAGAGGTACCACTGCATTCGGAAATCAGTCCCCCTGGACATCCCCCCCGGGGGTTGACTCAGGCGAACGCCTGGGAAGTACTGGTTAGGATCTGTACCTAGGCAGTCTCAACCACGGGGGTATATAATTTGACTTCACAAGACTAGAACCCGAGTATTGTATTCAGGTTGGTTCAGGCTTGGCAGGGACCGTATTGTCGTGTCTGTTCCTTCGGCTGGGGTGAAGCTAGATCGGAGATCGTCGTCCGAATCCCCGGGGGTTTGAGCCCATTCAGTTCTCGTGGCGGAGACTGACAGAGTGGACAGAGCACACACAACAATGTAAGTTTTGCCGATGAAGTGGTGCCCGGAGGAAAGGCGACAAAGTTTTAACATAGCAACGTTTCGTTCTGCCCAATGCTTTGTAAAAGCCGGACGGTGACTGCGGGGATTGCGCCCGCGAGGATGAGGTTCCTTGGGCCATAGATATCTAAACTCTGTATGGGTCCTCTAGAATATGGAACTGGGTCGGAGATCTATCGTCTGGTGTGTCAGTGCCCCTGGACAACCAGACAAAGAGGATCTATGTGACCATGTCACAACACTTACCACTCTCCCATAAGCTTGCGAACATTGCCCTCTAGCGTTCGCCGTTCACATTTTCGGACACAAATTCCAGTGAAAATCTTGTTTGTCGTGGTACGACAGGCCAGCATGTTAAGTTTAGCAACTGCCTTTTGAGACACCCTGTATGTAACATATTAATTGCACAAATCAGTTTGCATGATTTTCGGTTCAGTCTGGGTAAATTTTTCTTTGAGACATCCTCTGTAGTTGAAATTATTGAGCATCTTTTTCTATGCATTATTGTGTTAAAAAAGTATTTTTCACTCTAATTCCTTATGTTTAAATAAAAATATTCAATGCAATGAAAGTTCAAAACACGGGAAATACATTGCTTTATTCCCTTATTTTCTTTCTGCCTTCTAAATTAAAATTTGATTTCAAATCGTACGCTGTTAAACTATACTTCTTATTACAAAAAGTAATTAAAGTTACTTCTAATTTCTTGAAAGCAAACCAAATTGCTGAGAGAAATTATTTTCTATTTTAACAATAAATTATCTTTGTTTTATATTAATGGTCTCGCGTTATATTTCAGTCCACGAGATGGAAGAAATAATGGACTACATATGCGTGAACCAGAGCAGGAGTGATGGTGAGTGCAGAGCTGTTCTCTTCGTCAAGTTGAAGCCAGGTTATGAGTTCACATCCGACCTCAGGAAAAAGATCGCCCGAACAATTGACAGAGAACTGTGGGAGGACTGCGTACCGCAAGTAATTCTTGAAGTGCCTGACATACCAGTAAGTGGTCAAATTTTATTTCGTCAAAGATATCTAAAGGTATTTTTTTAATCTCCTGACAGTTGCAGGTACACAATAAATATATAAAGTTTTTAAGACCGAGTTCACAAAACAACAATATCTGAAGTAAAAACCTGTATCACTGTTTAGGTGCCTACACACATTTCTTTCCCAATGCCGATAATCTTTTACTATGCACATAAGATTTGTTCTTCGCTGTAAAGTTCGCCGAGCTGTAAAGTCGTTCAACACGGGTAATTCGATCTGAGTTATATTCCAGGGGAACAGTTCTGCATGTGCCATTTTCATGATTCGCTCTATGTGTGCAATGGATACAAGCCAGTTTTCCCCTTGAAGTCGTCAATGAAAGCATCCTGTTCCCTTTGGCAGATAGCCTTTGAGTCGATAGCCATAATCAAATAAACCAAACCATCTTCGCACATGTCAGCTTTTAAAAGCTATTGTCCTTCAGTGTTCTGAAGTGTGTGGCATTTCAGTAGGTGGTGTTCATCTGTAAGTTTTAGACTATGCAAGTTTCGTAGCCTCGTCTATATTTCGTAATCAGTGTCATTTGGTTGTTCTATGCAACTCGCAGTTATTAATGGCAAGGTTCGCCGATAGATGGTATCCGTAAAGGTCGATACTCTTAACTGTTCAGAAGAAAGCCCGTGATCATTCAGATCGTAGCATGATGCTCAAAGCAGTTGAGCTAAAACAGTGGACTTGCCGCAAACGATTTGAAGCGATATCGGTACTTACGTACTATCCCGTAGACCACTGAAGTTGGCTACCATTGAACCATGAAAATTAGCAGAGATCCTACCAAAGTTACGCCAATCCTTCCTGCAGAATTCTGAATGAAGTAAATCCTCTATGTTTAATAAATAATTAGTATCTGACCCGCTTCGTATAAAGATTTTCATCGATTTCTACTTTTTTGTTAGAATCTTCAATTTTACTGGAAGCTCTGCTTAGGACTCTATGAGTATAAACTTCTCATAGGTTAATATTCCAGTCTGTTACTGTTTTGTCGGCCATATTCTGTTGACCAAATCGAGTTCATTAATACACGCGTTTGTTTTTTAATGGTAATGCCCCATAACTTAAAAAATGTTTCACTGATTGCTATTCTGCAGAAAGGAAGTCCGAAAGTTTATTCATCTGTTTCAAATACCGAAGTTAGTTAATATTCTTATTCATAAAAATGAAACGTGACTTTTCAAGACTCGATCGGGATTACATCAAACGAAAGTGAAGATATTATTATGATTGTGTTGTTACTTCACGCCTACCCATAACTGGTGATAAATCGCGATCTTGGCGCGGTGGGTAATATCTAACTTTACTTTGACACATAAAGTCTCCGCATGCGCCAGATCTAGAGAGTATGGAGACTAACATATTTATTTGCAATAAAAGATATTTGGTAACACCTTCATTTAGCGAAGAAAACTTTTTGTTTCTTTTGCTTAATTACTAAATCCATAACGATAAATATCAGCTGCCATACAAACCAAATGAAAAAAAAATTTGCATTCAAACTTCTTTTCGAAAGACAGCAAAGCTTAAATGAAAGCAAATAGAGATGTGTCAATAACCATTGCCAATAATGATCGTTTGTCAATAGCGTAAATTTTTGGATAGTTGTAGAGATCATTCAGCCTCTTATTTCGGAAGAGACGTAAAAAAGGTTCAATGCCGTCGCCAAGATTCGAATTGAGGACCTCTTAATTATCAGCTGGATATGAGGGAAGAACTACCTTGTACGGTTACAGTCGAAAATACTGAAATGGATGTATGAAGTGTTCATCGATCATCTTTACTGAAGAGCATTTCATTGAATAATCTATAATATATATATAAAGAAGAAAGTTTTTGTGTTTGTCCTGTATAACTCAGTCACTACTATAGTTACCGTCGCCAAACTTTCTGCGATTCTTTTCTGGGTCCTGGAAAAGGTCGACATCCACTTCCCCCTCAAAAATAGCTAAAAATAGATATTAATTAAAAACTCGGAAAAACTATAATTTTTCCCAGTGGCAACAGTCGCGCAAGCTGGAGATGAAAATCTGCTTGATTTCGAAAGTTGTTGCCACTGCTCGCTTTCAAATAGTTGAGTTTATTAATAAAAAATTTCTTAAGTTTTACAATGAAATGAAAATAGCATTGCCAAACATTAAATACATTATTCCCGATTCCAAAAATTCGTGGGAAGCCATTTGGACTATTCCCATCTTCGTACGACTTTAATCAGCCGAAATATTAATTAAAAACTCTGAAAACGCTAATTTTCGCACTTACTTCTCCAAGTGCCAACAGTCTCGTGCGTTGGAGATAAAAATGCTTTATTTCGAAATGTGTTGTTCGCTTTCAAATCGTAGAGTTTGTTAATCAAAAATTTATAAGTTTTACAAAATGTATACATACGAGTATAAAGAAGAATGTCTGTTGTGTTTGCTTGTTATGTCTACCACATTTAATTGACTAAAATTATATACAGTTGAAATATTGAACGGAACTTGAACTTTTGATTGAACCTGCGCTTGACCATTTGACTGAAATACGACCATTTGATTAGAAAGATGAAAATCATTAAAAAGTGCTTGTGATTGTTGCTGATATAATTAGCTTATTTTTCTATCGAAATTTTTATGTGGGTTCCATATTTCATCAGAATGAAAAATGTATGACTATGAATCGTATTTTTTGCATTTTTATTAGAGAAATTATTACAGCGGCATCGTTCTTTCTCGTGTTAGATGCATTACTCTCAATTTAACTTAACTGGCATCGGGTACTTCCGCTAGTATGTATCTAAGTAAAACAAAAAAAAAGCACAGATTTCCCATATTGATAAAAATGCAACTAACAATAGCACAGAAGCTGCGTGTGGCGTTGGCAGTACAGAGGCAAGCGAGATTAAGAAGTGCGTAGAATGTTAGATTTAAAAATATTGAAGTTACGGTTCCGCTTTATTTCTAATTTACATTTAAGGCTCTGGATTGTAAATTTTAATATTATTACTGCCTAAAAGACTTTAGATCACTTTTGCCGTTATGAAAACAATTGTGCCATTAACACTGTGCAAGGATAAAAGCAAGTGGATTAATTCTAAAATAATGAAGTTCAGAGATATTTATTGTAAGCATGTTATTATTTTTAGAATTGAAACGAAAATAACCAACTCAAAAATATATCTAAAGAGTGGCATTACAAGTTAAACTAAGAATTCCATGTTACATGAATAATGTATATTACATGAATTATGTATATTCCATGTTACATGAATTATGTATATTTCATGTTACATGAATTATGTAAAGAGTGGCATTTATGTAGGTAACATATTACATATATTCTAAAAGTAATTTTATAGATTATGTGAAAAGTGCGTAATGTAATGATTCTTTAGTAAGTTTTTTTATTATTATTATTTGAAATATTAAAATAAATCTGTGTATCTACGTAAAAGAATTTGTCAGCTGTTGTTTACAGATTTTGCAGTTATCTATCTTTATTAATTACTAACCGCTTCCGCGGCCAGCATTCAGTAACAGACAGATTAAATTTGAAAGAAAAATTCTTACTCTTTGCCGAATGGCAAAACAGTGGTGCATACAAGATAAAAAATATTTTATTTCGGGCAATGGTAACACGTTTATTTTAAATCGCTGATTTTTGTTGATTAAATTCGAACGACAAGTATCTTGCTGTTTGCCGAGTGGCAACGTATTTCTAATAAATATCCGAGTTTCTCGATTAAATTTGAAACATAAATATCTTACGCTTTGCGAGTGGCAACGCATTGCTTTTAATTCACTGAGTTAGCTAACAGTATTTTTATTGAAAATTCTGGCGTCTAAGTGCACATATTCGAGTGGGATTTAAAATTGGTCGTTCTAAGTGACTTCGTTTTCCCGCAGTGCCAAGAACATGCATATAAACCTTTCGTTATTTAATAATAGATAGAGATTAGAGCTACAAAGAGTCTTTTTATCAATATTTATTCTGTAAAGACATTATTAACCCTTTATGTAACTAATAATTCTTTCAGTGAATGATTTTCCTGCGTTGCAATACAAATAAATTAATTCGAATTTCGAGTTCTGTCTTTGGTAATATTTTTGTATTTTGCATTTGACCTCAATTATTAACCTGAATTCAAGATTTCTTATTATTATTATTTACGGACATTTCTGTTTCCGATTAGTTTATGAATGTTAGATTTTTTTTAAATGTTTTATTGTCAAAAAGTGAGTAATGTTTCCCATTGCAGACCTAAAAAATTAATATTTTAAATATTATTTTCAGTACAACCTGAATAACAAAAGAATGGAAAGTGTTGTTCGGAAGATAGTGGCAACCAATCAGATTCCGCAAGTTAATAACATAAGGAACCCGGAAAGTCTGAAATACTTTTGCAACATTCCAGAATTGTTGAGTTATGAAGTCTGAAGAAACATGCTTGGATCTGTGCCATTTTAGTTTGATTGTTAAGAGATTTAAAGCTTTCTCACACTATATTGGAACTTATGCACAATAATGTCGATAATTCTGCATTCATATATTGGACTTCTCAGCACAAAGAAAATCATAGAATGTATACGTTCTTTTGTCCAAAAACCTTTTTGTTAATGCTTGCAAAAAATATTTGTCTTTTTAACTTTTGTTTAAATAATATTTATATTTTATGAATATATTTTTATTTATTTTCTATAGAGAGTTTTTTCTGTAAGTTTTTATTGTTTATATTTTATAAATATTTATCGAATAATAGTTATGAAAAGGTTCGTTAATAAAATTGGAATGTCTGATAAGTGTATACCTAATTTATTAATTAATATGAACTCCATATACCTCACATGACTTCCTTGTCATTTGAATATACCACCTTAAATTGAAAAGGATTATCGAAAATTACTCCATAACTTTTCTGCTGTATGCCGGACTTATCATAATTATTAATTGTCTGTTAATCTAAATGCTTAAAATGACAATTTTATGCATTTCAGATCACGAATTCTGATGTTCTTAGACTATCTTGAATCACTTAGACAAGGTGAGTTATTAGCTCAAACAGCGTTAGCCCGGAAGAGCCATTAATTTCGCTTTGGCATTTTGCGTTGAAAACAAATGTCGGTTCACTTTCCAAATTGTTGCCGCCAATCATTATCGCCCTGTTTTATATTTAAAGAAGTTAAATAATGAAGAATCTGCATACATATATGTATGTTTCTAGCATTGTAATAAAACAATGGTACCTAGCATTGTGATAAAACAATGGTTACAAACATCTAATTTTGAATAACGTAATCTTCCACCGAATATGGGTATCTGGAAGCCTTAATTTGCAGTTTGAAATTTGTTTTATTATCGATTTCATATTTTGTAACACTTCAACGAATTTTTGATTAAGAAACTCGACGATTTCAAATCGAGCAATAACAAAACTGTACGAGAAAAAAAATTTTTTTTTTTTTTAATCTCCAGTGCGCAAGACTGTGCATCGGAAATTCTAAAGATATGCTCATTTTAACTTGTGTGTAATTAACATTTTTACTAACATTTTAACAAATTGCCCACGTGGCTTGTTTTGCATTAAAATTATTTTGCGATATTGGCTGTTGAATTGAATTTTATGGTTTAAGTGCCAAGAACATGATATTTAATAACACAAAAAGTGTCACAAAAAAGGTTAAAAAAAGTCCCTTTGTGCGTAATTTAAAATATGAAAGCTTTCAGAATTTTTATTACCTATTTTTTTATTTATTTATCTTAATATTTTGTATTGGCTTGATCGTGAAAAAAAATAATTATTCGCTATCAGGCTGTTTGATCAGAAATGCAACCATAATTGGATGCCTGATTATTTCGAATTGTTTAAGGTAAAGTGGAAATACATATTTTAATTTCTTTATGCAGACAAATGAAATCTTGAATTTTAAATTCAATCTTAAAATAAACACATTTCCTTTGACTGCGCATGTCAATTTATTATTTTTGTAAGAGATAAGATTCTTTTATAGGAAAGTAGTTCGTCTTCGAAATTAAGGTGATCCTCATAGCAAGGAATTGAATCCATCTAATATTTGTTAGATTAGATGAATAACCACAGAAGTAACTATGTGATATTCTATTCAAAGCTAGATAGTTATAAAAAGTACAAGGGTTCACTGTCCAGTTTGCCTCGTAAACAGGGGAATTACAACTATGGCAGATGGTTTCCAAAAGGCGTCCATTCCATTTCCACTTAGCTTGTTTTGCATCAAGAAAAGTAAGGGAGTGAAGACTGACTGAAATTACAGTTTGAAATGAGGTAAAGGAAATGATGCTAGGCGATGATGACGGCATGCATTACGATCGCAAATGGGAAAGTGTGGCAATGGGCTACTTTAAAGGAAAAAAACTGTAATATAAGCTCCCTTTTAACTTTAAAAAAATCTGGTGTGTATACCACATGACTTCCTTGTACGGAGTATTAAATTATAAGCATTTTCCCTGCCTTTATTTTAAACTTACTTCCTCGAATTTCATTAGAGATGCATTTTTCATTCAATTAATTAGTTTTCACTTCGTGACAAAGCAAAAATTCCTAAAAACTCAAAATATCTTTATTAAAAATTGAAATTTAGTTTAAAAGGAGAGATGCAACTCATCAGTAAGAAGACATGAATTCTACCAAGTAATGTAATACGTGATAAACATCAATGTAAAATTCTAAGTATTTAAGATATTTAGCTTGATGCAGAAAGTAAAAATTAAGACAGTAAATTTGCAAGGATTAATCTCCCTTATTTGGAGCCCCTGCTGAATCCATTTTAAATCAGTTTCATAATTCGTTTACGAAAAAGGGTCCTTACTTACAGATGTCAAGCAAACGGATCGCTAAATTGCTTTCGATAGCGGTCAAAATGGATATTTTTGTTGAAATATGATACCCGAAATTTTTCTTGATTACAGTACTTACTTTCTACTTCGTACAAGGAAGTAAAAATGGTGGCACCCATCACAAAGTAATATGAAAGAGTAACGAAATTAAAAGCGCAAGAAGCATTCATAACTAAGCCGTCAAAATTGTTTAACAAACATCCACAACGTAACACTCAAATTTACATAAACTTGTAGGGACATTAGGTATTTTTTTGGAAGCAGGCAAGATGAAAAATTAGAAACGCCTTCGCCTGGAATCTAAACACAGACCTCTGAATACCGGCTCAATGTGCTGACCACTACACCACGAAGGCACGCCAGGAAGGCGGAGGAAATACCTTATAAACTAGTAATATATTAACTAAATAAAAAAGTCAACAAATGTTCATAATAAAACGCGTACATTTTTATTTTAGTTCGTGTGCACAGGAACTTGTTAATTTTAAAAAATCAGAAAATTTCAGAATTATCGGCATCACAGTGCAAATTGGTAGTGTTCTCCATGTACACGTCGACATGTTTTAACTTCAAAAAAAAAATCAGAAAATTCTACTTATTCGGAGAAAACTTTTATCAGAATCAGCCGAGAATAGTTCAAAAATTAAGTTCAGCAAAATTTTTATAAACACTGCCTTTTTCATTAACAGGCAAAATCCACAAATTCATTGCAATTCCTTACAAGAAAAAACCATACAGTAGTCAGAGGAAAACCACAAATATAATCCTCCAGTTCCCAAATGGCGAGCATCCCATGCTAGCATATATATACGAAACCATTACTAGGTTGTCAGGTAAAATACATGTTCCGTTTTATCCTGGGTTGCCTACTTTGGTGACATAGCGCTTTGCCCGGTAATTCTTCTTTCCGCTGGGCGGATAACGTGAAAGTACCTTTAATTTCACTAAATGTGGAAAGAAATGCCTTAGCTGTCCCAAATTTAACCTTATTTGCACAACTTTGGAATTATCAGCTTTAATTTGGAATGTTTATTAGCTTTCCCTTCCTAAGCTCTTAAAAATTTTAAACAGAATTCACGTAGGAAATTTTGATATGATTAAATTTGTAGCCATAAATTATTGAAAAAATTTTACACTATCTGGATAGTTCGCTTAATCATTTTATTTGCAACCAACGTGAAAATAAAACTCCTACACTTAAAATTATGTAAGATTTAGACGAAAAAAAACATTTCAATCATAAAAGCCGTCAATTTAGATCACGGTTTCTTAAACTTTTTTCAGTCGTGACCCCTTTTTAGCATTGAGATTCTTTTGCTATCCCCAGCACCCCACAATATTTACGAAAATTTTGTGTGACCCCATAATCATTGCGCAAATCCGACACACGCTTGTGTGAAACTGTCAATTTTTTTCACTTGTACTGTAATATACTACTGCAGTTTTAGCTCATTAACTTTCATTTCTAATTTTAAGACATAGAACAATGTGAAAATTTTAAATAAGTAACAGACGAAATGACAGCGCCACGTGCAAAGCAAGTAAAATGAACGTTTCTGTTATAAAAAGAATGCGTCAAAACGATTTCCTTTTTTCTTTGTTTGTATTGTCTTGTCTTAATCTATTTTCAGATACACTGTGTAAAAATATTTGATAATTGTAAAATTATTATAATAAGTTAAAGAAATATCAAAACTGCTAAATTTTTCAGTGATGGTGACCCCCTGCTGCAGGTCCCGCGACCCGCTTAGGGGTCGCGATCCACAGTTTAAGAAACGCTGATTTAGATTATCATGAAATTGAGCTGAGATGTTGCCAATCCTTTCAGCAGAAGATTAAATGAAATTTATTTCATTTACTTGGATAATAACGAGATGCAAATTATGGATATAGCATATGAAACACTTAGCATATGAAACACTTAAATTGCTTATCATAATTTTCATCCTACAAAGCTTTTGTTTACCCCTATTTTTAATGCCACCTATTATGGCTTTTTATGATGCCCCAGTTCAGTGGCGTAGCTACGGTTTTCAGCCCGGGGACAACTGAAGAATTTTCGTCCCTTTCTGTGTGCCAAGAATGGAAAACATACCATTAAAAACTTTCGTAGCATCAATTTGGAACCCCCTGGATGCTGCGCCCGGGGACAGATGTCCCCTCTTGCCCCACCCTAGCTACGCCACTGCCCCAGTTCTCCACCTTTGAAAATATTCCGCTTCATTCAATCTCACACAGTAGTAAGTTTTTCAAAATGCAAAGAAAAAATATATCTTGTATTCTTCTTTATGAAAATTAAACCGGCTTGTCAAGAATTAATCAAATTAACGTTAAACCGAAACGAAATTCATGTGATTGTGTTGTGGTAACATGCCTATCGAACGATCAGTATTTGAAGGCAAAAGAGAAGTTTTTGCTCCTTGAAATCAGTAATGTCTACGAACGTTTCTACGAAACTGTGAATCTGAACACTGATATGACGAACTAAGAAAAAACTGAGAGGAAAAAAAAAGTAAAATGTATGGTAAAATTTAACGCTGCATCGGAAATTCTAAACTTGTGCTGCTGTGCTGCTTTTAAATTTTTTCTATTTTGCTGTTGAATTGTATATGGTAAAAGTGCGAACAAAATATTACTTAATAACAAAGCTAAAAAGACTATAACAGGGTAGTATAGTGCTTATAACAGCAGACTGGTAGACTGCGAACTCAGCGAGAGCGTTAAAAGCTTAACAAGCTCTTTTGGATAACCGTAAAAGTCGGAAACCTTTCCGATTCTTTTTTTCGTTTGGCTTTGCCGACGGTGCTTTCAACTAGCTCAAGCACACTTAAAGAGTTTTCAAAGCTTCACATTCCTCATCAGAGTTTTTTTAACTTCTTTTTCTCCTCTGGTAAGAAACAAATGTTCAGGAGTGCTCAGTTACAATCCTCTCTTTCTTTTTTACCATTTTTCA